ATTACAGTGTGCTACTCCAATCACTATGGTGTATTACAGTGTGCTAATCCAATCACTAATGTGTATTACAGTGTGCTAATCCAATCACTAATGTGTATTACAGTGTGCGACTCCAATCACTAAGGTGTATTACAGTGTGCGACTCCTACCACTAAGGTGTATTACAGTGTGCGTCTCCTACCACTAAGGTCTATTACAGTGTGCAACCCCTCCTGCTAAGGTGTATTACAGTGTGCGACTCCTACCGCTATGGTGTATCACAGTGTGTTACTCCGATCACTAAGGTGTAATTCAGTGTGCTACTCCAATCACTAAGGTGTATTACAGTGTGCTACTCCAATCACTAAGGTGTATTACAGTGTGCTACTCCAATCACTAATGTGTATTAAAGTGTGCGACTCCTAGCACTAAGGTGTATTACAGTGTGCTACTCCAATCACTATGGTGTATTACAGTGTGCTAATCCAATCACTAATGTGTATTACAGTGTGCTAATCCAATCACTAATGTGTATTACAGTGTGCGATAATCACTAGGTGTATTACAGTGTGCTACTCCAATCACTATGGTGTATTACAGTGTGCGACTCCTACCGCTATGGTGTATCACAGTGTGCTACTCCGATCACTAAGGTGTAATTCAGTGTGCTACTCCAATCACTAAGGTGTATTACAGTGTGCGACTCCAATCACTAAGGTGTATTACAGTGTGCTACTCCAATCACTAATGTGTATTACAGTGTGCGACTCCTAGCAATAAGGTGTATTACAGTGTGCTACTCCAATCACTATGGTGTATTACAGTATGCTAATCCAATCACTAATGTGTATTACAGTGTGCTAATCCAATCACTAATGTGTATTACAGTGTGCGACTCCAATCATTAATGTGTATTACAGTGTGCGACTCCTAGTATTAAGCTGTATTACAGTGTGCGACTTCTAGCACTAAGGTGAACTACAGTGTGCGACTTCTATCATTATGGTGCATTACAGTGTGCGACTCCTAGCACTATGGTGTATTACAGTGTGCGACTCCTAGCACTATGGTGTATTACAGTGTGCGACTTCTATCATTATGGTGCATTACAGTGTGCGACTTCTATCATTATGTTGCAATAGAGTGTGCGACTTCTATCATTATGGTGTATTACAGTGTGCGACGCCTAGCACTATGGTGTATTACAGTGTGCGACTCCTAGCACTATGGTGTATTACAGTGTGCGAATCCTAGCACTATGGTGCATTACCATGTACATTTCTTAGCATTTATATCTATATCAAGGAACTTTTACTTTCGAAATATTAGTTAATATGCATATTCACATTGCTTTTCTGTGGTTGTTTTTAAATAATAAACATTGATTGATATTTGATCCGAAGTACGTTTAGGTAGAGAAACAGTGAAGTCTGGGGATGAGGGCACAACGTATCGTCAAATATTGAAGTTCTGATCATTTCGTCCGGGATCGGCCGTCGATACGGAGATATCGCTCCTGAACAACTTTATGTATACTAAGTGTTATCAATAGAATATCTTATACGAGACTGTATTCATAATTTACGAAACAAGTCCAAGATTTGTTAACGATGATCTGGGGAAGCGAGTGTATGATTCTATTTATCACGTAACGTGCATCATATGAATACTGATATCACATTTTCTGTTTCTATATCTCTCTGTGACCTCACAATGTGTATGACGTCGTGAAGTTATGACGTCCAAAGGGATTCAGCCAATCAAAGTTCAGTAAGGTCAGACTACACATGTATCATCATACCAATTATGAAATGGGTGTTATTAGACCGATTACAGAAAAGAAAGGGGACAAACGGAAGTGTGTGTGTGTGTGTGTGTGGTGGTGGTTGGGGTGTGGTGTGATGACGTTCCAACAGTGAGACTGTTGCACTGTTGCATGATTTGTGCGATAAATATTATCAAAGATAGGATTTCCATGTTTACGAGATAATTATTTTAGGTCAGTTTAAACTGTATATTTTATCAAATATTCAAAAGTACTATATATATACATATCACTTATGGGATGGGAAAAACAAGTATATTCATATTTTTCCAAGAGAATAAAAAGCTGAATATGTATTTAAAATAATTTTTCATAAGATTGGTCATTTACCATCACTATGGTATTCACTGAATTATTCTATGTGTCTGTGACACACATGATAGCTGAAAAGTAGAGATGTAACGTCAGTCCTAATGTTATGCTATACATATACATCCACATTTCAGTGCAAACTACATCTTGAACAATCCACATTACATATACAAGATAACGTTATGTCACAAATGGTGGTGTATCTTATACTGAAACCCCAAAAAAGTATGACAATATGAATATTATATCTAATATTTACTGGAAAAAACATATTTTCCTAATATCAATAGTTTTGCACGTGCTGTTAATATATATATATAGAAACAATTAAGAAGGTACTGATGTTGCCATTATTCTGCGGGTGTATGTAATTATTTAGTAGGATTTTCCCTGAAAAGAGCAAGCAGAACATTATATCTACATAATATATACAAACAAAGTCTCACAAATGACTAGCACCTTTACAATTCGATACACTAGAACTAAATACTAAATTTGACTAAATCGTGAAACTGGTTTTCACTTCGTGGAGTCCTAAGTAATGTGAAAAGCCTGAATCACGAAAAGTTAGAAAGCGACTTGAGTTAATTAAAACTGCCTAAAATAAATATCAAAACCAAATAAGGGTGTTCACTAACCCAAACTTTTAATATTGAATAATATCAAAATATCATGTACATATATATCAATTTTAATCATATGTTCATTACTAGATTTTACAACAGAGATAAGTCTAATGGTTTAACATGGCGTAGATTTATAAACACAGCCAGACTTCCTGGAGATATTATTTGGGATACTGCACACGAGTTAAGAATCCGTGCGCCCTTGACTGGTTAGTTTTATTAAGAGTTTAGTCAGCTGTTAACACAAAGAAGCCAAGATCAGGAAAAACTCGCCTGTTAGGGTATTGATGTTGGTTACAACGTATTAAGTCTCATAGAGGAGGAAATTGAAAACTTTAATTTCCTTGATTCTTTGTTAACATGATATAGATTATAGTGCTTTGTACATGTTTGTGTATATCACTACATTCCGGTTTCAGTTTTACGACCATTAACATTTTACACTACATGTATATATATGTATATAAATGGGGTGCTCCTTTTATGCATATTTTATCTTTTCATCAGCTGTTATTTTTTTGGCTACGCGAGCAGAATTATCCAGCATTACATTAATAACTGCTATGGTATTGATGCCTTTGAAAACGACACCGCGATTGAAATAGTGAATGCACATTTCTTTGTTCAAGGATTTATAAAAAATATTTTTTTATTTAGTTGTTTTGAAGTGTTGCAAATTGCGTTTGTGTAGACGCTTTTATTTATTAGCATAGAATTATTAATGGTGTCTTCGGTTAACAATGTTGATAACAATGGTATGGTGTGTTGCATTGACAAGGTGTTGGATACTGTTTTATGTTTCTGGGTGTTTACGAAAAGGAAGATATTGTTTCCGAGTGTTGACAAAATGTGACATATTGTTTGTGTGTATTGGCATCAATAAATATGTACTTATTGGTCCTCTGTGATAAATTGACAACGTGTTGTTCTGTCTGTTGACAAGGTGATATATATATATTACATATGTATGTCAGAAATTAAAAGTTTAAAATCATGGTATATACTGTTTCTGTATGTTTACACCATGGTATTTATTTCTGTGTGTTGTCAACAACAATACCCGCTATCTTAACCCTGCTATATCAACGTAAGTAATGTCACGTTTCAAATGAAACTTTCTGTTGGCGTTCGCCACTCCAGTTAAAAAATTAAATATGAAGTCTCTAACAAGCAAACAGACACAATTGTATGACAACTACTCAATTGGGGGAGGTAGAACAGAGGCTTTTTTCTAACACACTTTGTAGTTCTAACGTAGGATAAGCTTTGTTCCTATAACGATATTCACTAAATTTATAAATAGATAATGATAACAAATACAATACACATTACGATAATTGTCCAACAAATTATTGATATAAACTAACCTACGTGTCTTGTCCTTTAGTGATGTAAACAGGCACGACAGGAAGGTGATCTTATCCTATATCATACCATTTGGGGAATCGAACCAGGACCTCCTTGGTGAAGCCGGGTGCACTTATCCATTGCGCCACACAGCGACTCATAATAAGAAAATAGTGTCTAATTTATAGGACACTGAATTACGTAATTCGGGCATTATGTTAACACACGTGAACCTGTATACGTAAACGATGTTGTTTGTTACCTGTAAATACCAGGTAGCTGCGATATGCAAATCCCGGCTTATATCTGCTCCCATTAGCGGGCGTTGACGGGGGTGATTTAATCATATAAATATATGTATATAACAAAACATGTCCCGACCCGATACCTTTAATATCAACACTTCACTATAGCATTGAACACAGGTCACCTTACAAAAAAACATACTGACAAATAACTCAGTAAATATATACAGATTAATATTTTCTGTCCTATATATGTTTCGGACACATGAACAACACAAGTGATTGTTACTCCCACAGCACGGGACGAGATTTACACCTGGATTGAATATAACGGAGGATTGATCTGAACGGCTCCTCGCTTGTGAATATTTTACCTGTGGCCATCACACCTGTGTATTAGGTTACCAATATCTCAACAGTGTGTTCGTAGGTATATGCAATAAAGGATGTGATTCTCAATCCACACAGACGGTGCTAGTTCGGAAGTGAAAAAAATTGGAGTTCAATTACAGAGTAATTCTGTAATAGTGTACAAATATCTTGGTGACAGATGACTGTTTATTTCGATATGTTAAAGTCGGTGAATTTTGGCAACATCTTTTTATCAACAGTGGCTTAATACTGTTTACCTGAGGTTTACCAGTTTACCTGTGCTGACAGGAGTAAGATACGCGAAAGACTCAGTATGTCAAATATGCCGGACGAACAAACTTTCATTGTGGTGAGATACGGTGGTAGGTATATCGTTTTTTATAAAAAAAAAAAATATATATATATATATATTAATCACGTAATAAATTTATATATCAATAAATTTGAACATATCATACTTACCAAAAACTCAATTTCAACTTATTTAAGGACTTCGTTAAGCCTTTCATGTTGTTTTTGCACGATGAATTTCTTTCTTGTGTCTTTTAGGTTTCTCCTATTGTTTTTACAATAGTTTAACGCTCATAAGACGTAATCAAGATGTATACTTATGTCAAAGCCCAGTTATAACGTAAAATTCACAGTGTCTTCTTCTCAATACTATATGTTTGTAAAATGAGGATGTTTCAGTACATATATGATATAGAAACGAGTCTAAGTCTATCACGTATATAATATAGAAGACAGGTGTCTATGTCTATCACTTATGATAAAGAAGACAGGTGTCTATGTCTATCACTTATATGATGCAGAAGACAGGTGTCTATGTCTATCACTTATATGATGCAGAAGACAGGTGTCTATGTCTATCACTTATATGATGCAGAAGACAGGTGTCTATGTCTATCACTTATATGATACAAAAGACAGTGTCTATGTCTATCACTTATATGATACAGAAGACAGGTGTCTATGTCTATCACTTATATGATACAGAAGACAGGTGTCTATGTCTATCACTTATATGATACAGATGACAGGTGTCTATGTCTATCACTTATATGATGCAGAAGACAGGTGTCTATGTCTATCACTTATATGATACAGAAGACAGGTGTCTATGTCTATCACTTATATGATACAGAAGACAGGTGTCTATGTCTATCACTTATATGATACAGAAGACAGGTGTCTATGTCTATCACTTATATGATACAGAAGACAGGTGTCTATGTCTATCACTTATATGATACAGAAGACAGGTGTCTATGTCTATCACTTATATGATACAGAAGACAGTGTCTATGTCTACCACTTATGATAGAGAAGACAGGTGTCTATGTCTATCACTTATATGATAGAGAAGACAGGTGTCTATGTCTATCACTTATATGATGCAGAAGACAGGTGTCTATGTCTATCACTTATATGATACAGAAGACAGGTGTCTATGTCTATCACTTATATGATACAGAAGACAGGTGTCTATGTCTATCACTTATATGATACAGAAGACAGTGTCTATGTCTACCACTTATGATAGAGAAGACAGGTGTCTATGTCTATCACTTATATGATACAGAAGACAGGTGTCTATGTCTATCACTTATATGATACAGAAGACAGGTGTCTATGTCTATCACTTATATGATACAGAAGACAGGTGTCTATGTCTATCACTTATATGATACAGAAGACAGGTGTCTATGTCTATCACTTATATGATACAGAAGACAGGTGTCTATGTCTATCACTTATATGATACAGAAGACAGTATCCATGTCTATCACTTATATGATACAGAAGACAGGTGTCTATGTCTATCACTTATATTTATCATGACATTGGTATTTATTGTAATTCTGTGCTTATCTCTCCTAGAAAAATGAGTTATAAGAAATAAATGTATACATCTTGATTTCATATAATGTTCCTTTAAAATTAATTTTAGATGAAAATAACATTATATGGCGGTAGGCCATAGTTTATTACCCTGATGAAACAGGACAAATCTACTTCGTTACGTTTCAGTTATCGAATGTTTAAGTGACTATTGTTAGAAAGTGAGTACATACTTCATTTGTCTATTTCCTATGCAATGTTACGTTTGATCATTATTTTATGTCTTAAAAACGCGTTTGGAAAATGTGAGTGTTTGAATAATAGATGCGTGTGAAAGGAAAATGACAAGAGATGTTGACCCGAAACGATCTTTAACTTGGCATGAAGTATAGGTGCCAACATATCTGACACCTCAGTTCTAGAGGTATTCATGTGGTACACATTCAATATCTCTCTTTGTATCGATCGACAAAGATCAGTACACTAAAAATGGAATCTTACAACAATGAGTTGCCGACTTGGTCGAGGGATCAATACTGCCCCTGAACGGTGACTTTACACGAGACTTCATATAGAAAATCGAACCACACTGATACGAGAGACCTTCATAAATATAAAAACACTTCAACTCAATGTTTAATTCATTCTTTGATTATAACGAGAACACTGCACTCTTATACATGGCACAGATAAAGTACTGGTTAAAGCCGAATCGCCTAACATCTGTTGTGTGAGTCAGTAACTGTTTTGTAGGAAGGATTATGTCTCTCAATTCTTGATCTGCTATATTCTTTAATTTATGTTCCTCCGGGACTTAGACATGTCTACGGTAGATATACCTAGGGCTTATATTTGGTAAATTGTAACTGATACATAGGGTGGATTATGTCTCAATTCCTGACCTGCTCTAGAGCTTTTTCCTATGTATTTCTCACAGACATTCAAGGTTTTATATTGTAAATGTGCCTAGGATTTACAACAGGTAAATTTCAGTTTTTCATTCTATATATCTGATGCATTTGTAATGTATAGTGCAATGTTTTTACCCTGTATGCTTTAAGATAAACAACATTATGCTATTTCCACAAGAAAACGGGTTATACTACACAGTCACATAACACCATTGTATTTAATATAACTTTTTCTCAGTAGAATTTTCAGGACAAAGAAATCACATGTAAAAGTCATGTAATGTTGTATTAACAAGCTACATCTCCACATCCACATTTGTCGTCAATATATATACATGTATGAAAGAAATTGAACTACCTATCTAACATTACCTCCATTTGTATGAACACTGTTTTAATCAATCACAGCGTGTTTATTGTTAATATTCGGCCAGATCAAAAGAATTTTAGATAATGATTTTTCATTTTAAGGTCTTATATGTTGACTCTTGAGTGTTGAACAACCTAGGAGAGTTTGTTTTGTCGTGAACAACCTGATTCCAATTATTTCTTTAAAAGAACAAAAAAGTTGACAGTCAATATAAGAAACCTTACAATATCAATAATTATTATCCACTCTCGACACCCGTAAAGCATTGCCCTAGTGTATTATGCTAGTTTCATTTTAAGATATTCAAGCGTGAATGATGTATATATACCAAATTGAAAGCAAACATCGCCTTTCAGTAGAATACGTCTTAAGGATGTGTGTGTGTCCTAGTATAAAGCCATAATAATAATAAGTGTTTACACCGATCTACTGTAAAGTTGTCGAAAGGCTGGCTGTTTATAGACTTGCATTGTGTTCTATCGACCTTCTGTGTGTGTCGTCAATAGATGAATATATATATATATATATATACGAACCACGTTACATATAAATAGAAAAACTATGTGAAAGAAAAAAAAATATTTGGCAATATTTCGGATTTTAAATTTGACATTTATTGTAAGGTTTTGGCAGCCGCTTGTGTTTTCATTGGAAGGATTGAATACCGACAACAACAACCATTGAAATGTTGACCGGTTATTCCAGTTTATTTTTCATGAAATGGAAATGAAAAAGAAAACCTGAATAGTTTATTACTTAATTCTAAACAGAATCATAGTAGTGTAAAATATAAGTTTATTGAACATGATATGGAAAATGTTTTACATTTATTGCCCAATAAAGTTGTTGTATAAACTTATGTTGTATCTAAAACATCTCTTATGTATCAACTGCATTGAAAACTAAATATTTTAACTGTAGCAATCGTGAATTACAAGTATTGAAAGTCTAAAGTCTAAAAGATGTCACTTTTCATTTACTGGTAGTGACACTTCAAATGTTACATTTTCCATTTATTTCTATTTCAAATTCTTTTTCGTTTGTATGATATTGTATAGGTGTTATTGTATCTTACTTTCAATACTTTCTTTGTACAAGAAATGGTATTCAAAATTTTAATTGAAGACACCTGGCGACATGCTAATGAAAAACATTAAAACAAGTTCCTTCCCCTTTCTAACGAATACAATACGCTTATTGTTATTTCGTAATAACCACGTAATGACCCCCTTTTAACGTTTATTTTTCAAATGAGAAGTGGAGCAGAAAGAATTGAGGCATTGATCACAAGGACGTCACTCTCGCAAAATATGGTCTTTGTTCATAATATATCCACACCAATATGTTTGAGCATGTAGTTATGGGACAGGTGCACATCCCCATTCAGATTTTGACATTTTTATCAATTTTGTTTTTCATCCGTGGCTTCCGGTTTTCACAATGTAGGCCCTTAGCATCGCTGACGGCTCCTAGAAGGATGAAACAGCGGTATATGGAGTTAAATTAACAATTTGGCTGTACCGTATCTAATTCTAAATGTGTATTAAAAAATGCTATTCATTTGTGTGTCTTTTGTAAAATCTTACAAATCAACACAATATTTACACTGATATCATTCATAGAAATAAAAATGTAACGTTACCCTTCATCAGCGAATAGAATTTAGGGGCTTAAAAATCAACAAGAAAATACCTACACGTCAACATAATCAAAATCCAAACCAAAATTCAATAAATCTAGGTCAACAACAAGAAAATACCTACACGTCAACATAATCATGATTCAAAGCGAAATTCAATAAAACTAGGTCAACAACAAGAAAATACCTACACGTCAACATAATCATGATTCAAAGCGAAATTCAATAAAACTAGGTCAATAACAAAAAAATACCAACACGCCAACATAATCATAATCCAAACCAAAATTCAACAAATCTAGGTCACCAACAAGAAAATACCAACACGTCAACATAATCATTATCCAAAGCGAAATTAAAGAAAACTAGGTCACCAACAAGAAAATACCAACACGTCAACATAATCATTATCCAAAGCGAAATTAAAGAAAACTAGGTCACCAACAAGAAAATACCAACACGCCAACATAATCAAAATCCAAACCAAAATTCAAAAAATCTAGGTCAACAACAAGAAAATACCAACACGTCAACATAATCATGATTCAAAGCGAAATTCAATAAAACTAGGTCAACAACAAGAAAATACCTACACGTCAACATAATCATGATTCAAAGCGAAATTCAATAAAACTAGGTCAATAACAAAGCAATACCAACACGCCAACATAATCATAATCCAAACCAAAATTCAATAAATCTAGGTCACCAACAAGAAAATACCAACACGTCAACATAATCATGATTCAAAGCGAAATTCAATAAAACTAGGTCAACAACAAGAAAATACCTACACGTCAACATAATCATGATTCAAAGCGAAATTCAATAAAACTAGGTCACCAACAAGAAAATACCAACACGACAACATAATCATAAGCCAATCTCTAAATAACAACCTAGGTTAAATACAGTATAACTGTAACTTAATTTACCGTTCGATATGGCAATTCAATACCAAAATGAAATGTAATTATTCAGTCGTATGTGCTTCAAGCTTGTTTCATAGACTTAAATCGTGAACGTTTTAACAGAAATTAACTTAAAATGATTCAGTATGTTATTTGACAGTGTAATTGCAGATATTCCAAATAAAAAAGCGCAATATTTTAACAATTTGGGCGATTCAGAATTGTTCTCGTTGTTAACACATTGTCGCAAATATACTCAGGTTTCTTGAATAAATCGATAACAGTTGTCATTTACAACCAATTCGTCAACAATTTTGGATACATGAAAATATAATATCAACAATTGCTAAAGTCTACAGACAAATATCAATTTAACATATGATATACTGAAGGTGTATGAGTTTACATCGATCTTGTATATACCGATAACTTTGATGACTCTTCTACTGAGAACTGAAGGCAATCAGTGCATATATATTAAACGTCGATACTCGCACACTTAAGCTATATACTTAATCTTCTGACGTTTGTGTTATCACAAAGGAACAGTATTTAAGTATGCTTTACGACTCACAAGTTTGATTGTATCCTCTAATCCCATGAACAGTCATGGTATCGCATGCTTGCCTATTGAAAGATGTGTATGACACATTGTGTATGTTTATTGCTAGATCTCAATGTTTTGTATAGAAACTAACAGTTTCGTCGTATTAAAGTTGATCCTTTTGAAATAATATACAGGTAATGAAGTTAAGTGTTGTCAGGTGATAACAGTCTGTTGATATTGTTTGACTATTGAATAACCTTAGTGATACTTAATCGGCAACATAAATGAAAATAGATACCAACTGTCTTTGTAGACCTGCTGAACCGAACAGATTGTCTAGTGAGATTAAAAATTAAAAGATTCAAACAAAATATTCTATTTATGGTTAAAACGACACGTATTGTACCTTGTTTTCGGTTGATAGCGGATGCAGCCATCCGTGTGGTGATTATGTGTTTAATATGTTACATGGTTAGAGTGATTCCATCAAACACTTAATAAAAACACAACAATACACCCAACAGCGTATTTGTATATAACAATTAACAGGTGTGAATCAAGATGATTTTGTGATATTTGTACGATGAAGGTATGTTATTTTAGTAGATCACATGTCGGTGTTGTTACGTATACAGATAATCACGTGAACTAAACTGTAAACACAAAACATAGTACATCTATACATAGCATACCATCTTAAAATCAGAAATCTGTCTACATAAATCACCATTAGATTAAACAAAACCATACAGGTCACAGTCTTAAGCTTTTAAATATATAATTTAACGGAGAGAATTCAATAATTAATAACACGGATTATAGTTTTTTTTAAATTTAGACGTTTTGGCACCAATGTTTTAGGGTGTAATTGTATATTATGTTGATATAGAACACAGAGGCCATGTAAGTTATTGTTCTATAAGCATATTTTATCCAAAATATGTTAAAAGTGCCATCTGCACAAGACCTAAACTGTCAGCTAGTGCAAGTCCCCAGGATTAACTAATGAGATATTGTTTTTTATTGTTTAATCTTATTCAATGATAAATTATAATAAATATGACTTCTTTTATCATTGATATCAGATGACGAGTCAGCACTCTTCAACCCCTATTGTGCAAGTCATACATTAACGGAATGGATAAGAAAAAAATGCCGATGTGAAGATGACAGTGAGTATATCTTATATTTGAGTGGTTTATCTACAACACATTAAATTGAAAACATGGATACAAAAAGTAGTATTGTATCGATGTCAGCTCTAAATTGTATAATGTATTTTGATTTTTTGAATATCTAGGTTCCCCATTCCACGACGAAAGTCGTAAAACAAATTTGTCAACTGACAGGTCTTCTTCAACAAATTGATATGATTCATGCTACTCTAATTGTAATAGAATTCTAATCAGTTCTTATTCAGTTAGAAATAGCAATGATAGTATAACTTCTGTATATTGATATTTTCTGCATTTGCATTCAAAGCATTTATAGTTTAAATAGCCTTCACACGTATTGTACATATGTATCTGTGTATAAATACCTTGATAAATGAGCACTTCAGTTAAATATGATTACAAAAAAATACCCCATGTGAAGATGATTAGGGAGGATCTTACAATAGACTGTGTCATGGCGGTTATCTAGTACCTCTTATAACTAAATCACTACTTTGAGAAGTTGTGGACTAGGCTGTCTTATTTAGGTCACTATCCTACAATAGTTAAAGGGTACAAACGGGTTTCGTTTTAATTGGTGATTAAATATTAACCTAGAAGCAAATTAAACACAAAACTGAAATATCATTTTACAGCTTCTTCATGACACTATACTCATGGTAGTTAAAGTGGACAATCAGTTTTCATTAAATTGGTAATTTAATAATACACAGAACGGACTGTGCATATTGAAATATTATTTTACGTGTATAATATGACAGGTCTTGGAGTTAAAGTTATTAAATACATAAGCGGACTTTCATTCGGAGACTTAAATATTAAATGTTACACAGACTTTCTTTTTTATTGAGTTTTTTTTAACACATTCTTTTCTCGTTATTGGCTGAAACCGACATCAATGTATGTTCCAAAATGACAACAAAAAAAAAATGTATTTTTTCAAAAGTCACAAATATAACATATTTACATATACGTACATGTATTTTATGTGTTTTACCTCCACAGTTACGATAGACTTGGTCGACCTTGATGGTCAAGTAAAGAATCTCCCTACCAGACCTAAAGACTACGCGAGTGAGATGGTGACAGGGCGGGAAACATACGTTCTTATACGGGTAGAACGTAAGTAAAGACATCACTGTTATGATCACGTGATCACAATATTATTGTGATTGTCTAATGGATATTGATGTAAGATTCATTCAATTTTGTTTGGAGGTTAGAAGAGTAAAATTTATAACACAGTAACACTTCTTTGATCTTGAACAAAACGTCAAATGATCAAGTACACACGGTGTAATGATCAACGCAAGTTGACGTTATACGTGGTAATGAAGTCTTAAAACAGATTTAAGCATCACCGACACAGACAGGACAACTAATCACAAATTACAAGAACTAGAAAATGATTACGAAAGGTATCCACCAGACATTTAATACCGATATAATCTTAATAACTCAAATCACAACTTATGTCATCACATGAAAAAACTATAAAACGTCTGAACATCTCAAAGACAATACTTAAAACAAATCAATTAATAATCGCATGAATAAAAGTACTAAAGATGCTCACGATAATCGTCGATTGAAGTTAACATACCGGTTCTACATCGAAGGTCTTAAATGTTAATTCACTATGATAACATATGATTGTGTTACGTCATCAGGTTACCTACATCTGACGTCACACAATGAGTAGTAATTACTATTCCGAAATACTATATAGATATATTCATTACATACCGAGGAAGTCATGTGATAAATGAGGTTCTTGTGATATCACCTTTGATTAATATACATATCACGTTACTTATCATTAATACACTGTAACGGTGATATCTACAACATTTATGCCATTACGGGACGTTAGGTCATCGATATATGTTTGTTCACAATTTGCAAATTGTATGCCCTTAGCATCAGTAACGAGTCCTAGAAGGAAGAAATAGTTGGGTGATGCAGTAAAATTCATTGTTGATTCCATTGTATATAATTCTTAATTTGTAATGCAAAGTGCTATTCGCTGATGTGTCTTTTGTACAAACTACCAACAACTGATAAACATCTCAACATATTGAACACATCGAATTTTTAGTTACATACCAACTCGTTTGATTATAATGACGAAACAGGGGGAAACACTGGTGTTCATTGCGTTATGAAAGTCCACACCAGCCATTCAATTTTATAGTCATCCAGTATCACATTTACTAATAATTGGTGACACACATGGTAATACCCGCCTAACAACTCATTTGGGCCTTGTAGTAAATCAATACCAGCTATCATTACCACACGGTTATACTAATATTGACTATCAATCCAGGTGTAATTATCCCACTCATTGCCCCGTAGTTATATCTTACACACAAAGATTAATTTAATTATTTCCATTGACATTTGTAACGTCATGAAAAAGAATTGATTTTCTCTCTGTTAAAATTGTTGACATGGACAATAAAATCAATATGACTGTGTTTGATAGCGCCACTGTAGAAAGAACATAGGAATCACATTACACATCAGCTTTCTGTACATGCATATATTGTTAACCAATATTAACAAACCTGTTTTATAAAACATCGATTATCCGGAAAGCAAATTTTATTATATCCTAATTAATCCATAGGTGGGCTTAATTGCACCAATGTATACCCTTCAAGTTTCTAATTTCCTTTTTGATAACAGGTAATTACTAAATCAATTTAGAAAAATGAATTAATGAAGGTTTTAGGTCATGGTCCCGGTTGAGTCTTTGTTTCAAATTTGAAAAGATATATATACAGACCGGATATTTCACCTACTTTATACACTTACATGTGTACATGAACATTAAGAATATTGAAGTTGTATAATTTAATTTTTTAAAATCAAAAGTGTCCTTACTTTTCGAAATAAAGGTACAAACGTTGTTCGTTCACGACGCATCACCATGACGTTCCACATATATAAAATGCCATTGACCTACATTCTAAGAATCAAAATTATGCAATGGATAAGAGAATTGTCATTAGACTTACGCAGCCTTAGCATATCATTTTCGGTTTAACATCAACTAAGAAACATTCCTTGCATTTGAGTTTTTATCTCAATGTGACCTTATGTGGCGGTGTTGTTGATGAAGCAGAAGACGCTTACTCTTCCAAAATGTCTGGTCTTATTCTCCATGTACGCTTTCAGGACTCTCCGTGTAATTCTTTCTTTTGATCATAGTTTAACCTAGTGTCGTTGAATTTGGTTTTGAATTGAGATTCTGTTTGAACACGTTACACCAACTAATTAGCCTACATATAAAGTATTGGACAAAGTGGTGACAGTATGTCCAATTGTCAGGGCCGTTTAGCAAATTTATCGCAACCATGAATACGGATATTCTTAGCGATATTGTAATTTTGTTTTTCTCAATATATTTCGTTCTGAGTGTTTAGTGAAATAAATGCTCCGGGTACTTAAAGTATAATTAAGTAGGACACGGAAACGTTCCTGCGACAAACACACCTTTATCTTCCTAATTTAAATATCTTTCCTACAGCCATGTCCATAATTGTCTATAACTGATAGGACATTAAGCTAGTCACTGTCCTATTTCTCATACATACATATATTAACTGTGTGTATATATATATATCTAAATAAACATTATCTGAGTATAATCTATATCAGCTCTATATCTCAGAGTGTAAAGATAATGATACTGATTTACATTCCACATTTTAAACTGTTAAACATTACAAACTTCATTTTAAAAAAAAAACGCGAAATTTGACCGTGATGTCGACCACGATATCGTCTATGTCTAATTCTTTAGCCTTAAACCCGGTCCACTTAAGTTGATCTTTCTAACATACCTATTATCTGTATTAAATTATCTCTCCACAAGCCACTTCGGTAATCTTAACGTACTTTTCATATCCTATTCAAGTAGTATATCTTATTTACTTAAGTCATAAACTTCACGGTGTCCACCTGAAGGACAAAATTTACCGTCAATAACAAGGCTTGTTGGTAGTATGTTTTATATATTATACTGGGATCCCTTCCCAGTATTGACACTTCCTTGCAATTAAATAAAAAATTGTTAAATATGTACAAATGATAAATAAAATTTATTATGATCAGTTTGTATTGGAATCAGCATAGATCTGCAATTTACAGAGTGAAAAGTGGGTGAGTTGATCGATGTGTAAGGTTTAGAGTTAAATCGGTAATTGGAAATCATTGTGTAACGAAGTGGCTTAAAATCAAAAGCAGAAATCATGAAAGTAGCTAAAAACAGTACTCCTTAACGCAAATATCCTGTATGGTATAGTTATTTAACTATTGGCTGAAATAGTAGTTAACACATAAGCGGATATAAATTATTATTACACCAAACGGCAATGTTATCTTGTGATATATCCCAGGTGCCTTACAAGTATGTGCACATGTTGGGCTGTAGTATGAATTACTTTACTTATGCGTTGAGTATTTTCACGACAATTCAAATTTACGTGCAAGTCATGATTAAAATGTTCTGAAAAAACAACGTTTTATGTAGTGATCGTATCTTTGCTAGACTAAATAAATAGCTTACATTTTTTGTTACAGGTTGTAACGATGGGAAATTTAGCTACACATCACTACTCAACAACCTTGCCGAAGTAAATCCCGAACTGAGTGGTAAGGATACATATGTACTCTACAACAGAAATTAAATAAATTTAAACATTCATGAATATGTATGGACAGACATATAATGAATTTCGGAGCAATATACCTGTGAATTGCCAATGCAACTCATATCTTCTAACAGGTGCTGTAGTAGCTTTAATCATATATTAATTTCAGAAAGATAATGGGGGCGTATAATTGAAAGAACATGTTTAACACCTAAAGGACTTCATTATACTTTGTATACGTATTGTCACTTCTCTGACAACAGAATTCAGTCTACTTTTTTTGTTTGAGTTGAGTTATTAATTATATGGCGTCTCCCCTTTAATACCATTCAACCCTGGTCCCGTAGGTATTCGGAGTCAGTCTAATAAGCAGATATGACGTTGGGACAGGTAATCCCAGTCTACGTCTGGTTACCGCAGAGCGTTTCCCCAATGAATCTAAAAACACTGTAGTTCACAACCAAGGCATTGATTCCCTCTTAATATACATTATACCTATTAGTTGAATTTTCAATATGTAATTACATTTATTCCTATGTAAGGGCCACTTTTTTATTCCCTGTGTTTTGCAATTCCAGGTTATTGAACCTCTATATAAAGGCTACCTGTGTATAAAGGTCAATTTTGAGCGACGTCTATAGACAGTTTTAACCTTATTGCTATACTATTAACCGAACATGTTTTTGTTTTGTGTTTCAGTTAAACTGTCAAGTATGTCCAGACCCACAACAAGAACTAGTAAAAATAAGAAACAGAAACCACAGGTGAAGCAGGTCAAGGCGGCGCGGCAAGAGTCCTCTCAAGGAAAGAGGCCAGGAAGTAGTGAGAAACCAAAGAAATCAGCAAAATAAAAGTGCCTCGCTCTATGACCATTTTGGTGAAGCTTTCAATTAATGGCAAGCATCATCAATATGAAATGCCCAGTACACAAACTTTCTTTAAACTGGCATTTGAATATTTTTATATGGAAATACATCGATATCGTTAGGGACGTTCTTGTATTTGAGTACCATGACATTCATACATATATACGTGCTGTGTAAATTGTAATTGTTTTTCTTCTCTGATATAGAAGTAGTAGTTGGCTGCATGTGTTCTTCAATCTAACCATATTAACGTTTCGAGACATATATGGTATTGCATTCAGTAGATGAAATCATTATCAAACGTTACTTGTAGTAATTGGTGATAGCAATAAAGGCATACTAAATTGTACCTTTATTTCTCGGCAACTTAATTCACCGTGAAAAAAAACTCATGCCAGATGCGTCTCGTCAACGGCTGATACAATTTACAAATAAATGACCAACCACTCAACAGACCTCAATATTAGTTGTATGCTTCCATTACCATGATACCCAAAATACTCAATCTGAATAATGTGTCTATTCTTAGTAATATCAAAAACAATAATGACTGTGACAATTTCTGCCTTCTCTGTCGTTTAACGGAAAGTGGTCCTTTTTGTAAAATTGATCTATTCAGATTTATTATTCACTTGAATGTGTTTACATAAGAAATATGATTATATTTGGCAATGACCTTTCAGTGATCATTTCCAGCAGGTTTCATTAACATCGTCTAGGACAACCAAAGTACAAACTCATATCTGCGGCTAGGATGATCACTATGGAAACGTCAAAGGCCAATATTGTTAGTAACATAAAATATCCTTAACACATCAGATATGATAATATACCACCTAGTTTCATCACAAACGTGTACTGGCCATTTCGTTATTTTAGACTTTACACATTATTTTTGTAAAACAGCTTGACTTTGATATTCAGTTAAGGTCTTTCCTTCTTCATTTTATTTTTATCAATCAAAATTAAATATACATGTGACTACACAACAGAAAATATCAAGCAAAAGCATACTGAAATGAATTCACTTTTAAATGTGTGCAATCTGTCAGAAATCTTAACTGACAAATGTACTGCAAAATGCAAAAACAACCTTCAAACCTATGACTTGCTATTGACTAAATATCAGAACTTTCAAACATACAGATGACGTAATATGCAATCATTACTCATAGTACACCAAACGGTTTCTTAAACTTTGAATAAAGGTCATCAAATGTGCCTGCTTTACCTCGATATTTACCATAAAAATCTATGTGAAAGCTTGCTACTTACATGTTGGAAATTCTTGACGGCTTCGATTTCCCAATCGTGAGCTTTTGCTTTCTTAATAGTAACCACCGTGCTTTCCTATCTACCATATTTAAATGATCTCACTTGGTTTGTGGATCAAGATTTCCACGAAAGATGTGGAAGGATGACCGGCCATTCGGACGTATATATCTGCATAATCGGACTTATATCATCTGAAAACATAGCAAGAACTGTTTTTCCCCCAAAGATTACCGACAAGACCTGGTTATCCTCCAAATGTTATCTTCAAATACACGTTAGATTAAATAACATCAACATTCAACACATATCATGTCAAAAATACTATGTTTATTCAAAATATACAAATACATCTATCTCATACTGTTAACCAATTTTCTTTCACGACAACTAACTTTCACGAGTTTTGTTTCATAACAAGTTTGCGATGGTTAATTCAATGTTACTATTTGTCATCATTATATTATCTTTTATTACATCCTGAAAATAACAATGAAGAAAAAGATGGTTTACAGAATAACATGCGCTTATAATTCAAAACAAGATGTTGGAAATCGCATTTTTTCCAATAACGATTGGTTATTAATGCACAAAGTCTTAGAACCATGTAACATTTAAACATAAATATGAACACAATATCAAACAATGTAACAACGAAATCTCACATGTACAATTTCCGTGGATATTTAAGTACAAACAAGTTTTAAAAAATTGTGTTCACTTCTGATAGTCAAAACATAAGTTAATACATGGTTTTTCCCAATAAAATCTTGCATTGAATTTATGGAACGTTCAGGTTCCTTTAAAGATTCCACAAACGTACATGACCATGGGAAATGTTTGTTTGAATGCAATATTCAAATATATCAAACTATAAATCCATGGTCACCCTTTATTTAGATAAGTACACGGGAAAGGATATGGGTGAACGGATATCAAATTAATTTGAAAGAAAGAAGATAAATGAACAATCGACTTGCAACATACATCCATACATACATATACAAATATAAACATTGAACATACTAATTCTTGAACTCAAAATATATAGATAACATGTGATATGAGTAGCATTTCAATCAAATCAAAATCCAGTTACATTGAGGAAAGCTGGAACAGTTGCTATGGAAACATACATGCATACAAAATGAAAATTGAGTCAGCCAATGATATGATATCGACAACATTGCACCAAAACGTCAATTCAGCCTTGTCAGGATGTACTCCTCTGATGTTTGACCGGAAGTAGGACACAGTTTAATATCAAATGAATTCTAACCATATTTATTTGACTTAAGTGTTTTAACTGATAAACCGTAGGGTTTAAAGTAATAGATTAATTGAACTAATATACTTAGAATTCTCAAGGGAGCACATCCTTAAATCAATTTCCGTAAGCATGCATCTTTCCTTTTCAAAGATATAACATGAAAAACTTGTAAACATTAGTGTAGTCTATGATAATGAAATGTATCACTGAAGGTTTGTTCTGACTTAGAAAAACTTATCTTAAGACAAAACCATATGGCTATACGGTGCCCATGGACTTTTGTCAATGGACAAACGTCATTTTTCTATGGACAGATAAAGTTTGGGATCAATCATAATTCCGTTTTCGTGTCTTGTAGTATCATCACTCAAGCTCATTAATATATATCTAGCTGAAAGTCAGTGTCAATACCGGTCATCAGTTTAAAATCAACCAACGGCAAAATCAGGACGAATATCCAAAGATATGTATTCTTTAAAACATCATCGTAAGATTTCAGCAAAATTACATGTAGGATATAAATACAAATATTTCTGTCTACTGAATACATCATTGTAAATTCAAAATAAGGCAGGCTACTTTGTTGAAGCAATTTAAATACTGACTACTGTATCATTTATCTCCCGAATTGTTGTAACCGCCTTAAAATTTAGAATCTGCTGAAGGAAGTCAGAACTAAATAAGGATCTATAATGTTTTCACTAGTAAATCCATTACAAGTCATCGTTGATGTGTAACAGAATTTTTAAAAGACACAAGTAAATGATAGCTTTCAATACAATTTTACTTTTAGATAAAAGTACATGTCAAACAATGAATTAAGTTGCATCATACAAGTTTTGTTCAGTGACTCAAAGTGTAAAATTCTAAAGACATGCAAGAAAAATAAAAATCAATTGGGAGATGAATGGAGGTGCATCTACCCAAAATTCAATAATTTCGAAATTTTGTAATATTGGATCATATTAAAACAACGTTGTATACATACAAATAATACTACAATACAGACACAAACCTGAGGACATCTATTGAAAAATAGTGTACTTAAACGTAACATTACACAGTTGAGGACACAATGTGTTCGGACATGAACAGAACACAACCTTATCAAAATAAACCTGTTATTCATTATCATCAAAGGGTTGATGTAAGTGGCGAACTTTGATCCCAATAAAACATTTACATTGGATGGATTAGCATAATAATTTCAAATATCATTTTATTATCTTATAATTATCAACTCTGGGTCTGTTGAGTCATGATGTCGTTACTCATGGTCTTTTGAGTCACGGTGTCATTGATGCACAGTCAGAAAATATACTATGACATTAAATTTGGTCAAAAAACAAATTATCACAGACAAAAAAAATTCTCCATCATTTGATATTTTTTTCTGATGTCATTGTTCATAATCTCGTCTAACATAACTGCAGGATATTGGTTATTGAGATGAATAATTAACAATTTGTCATTAACAGCGAGTGTTGCTACAAACACCTGCTAGGTAGTTATCACTGTAAATATAACAACACACACACTAATATTGTATAATGTATACTTGTAGTGTACTCATAAATAATGAAAATATATAAATAAACATTGTCAGTAAAACATGTAAAAATTATGAAATAAAAAAAATAAAGATATTTTATGTAAGTTAGGTGGAATATTTCGCAAGACGTTCGAATTATTCAAACTATGATTAACGTTGTTTATATATTCAGTTTTTGTTTATTATATACGACTATCGTTGAACGACAGTAAATAATCAGCCGAACATTTTAATCAAGTAATGATGAATTATGATGTCACAACAACAAATCGTAAGATTACACCTACTTCCTACATCGACTTGTAACCAGTACAGCCTCTGAGTTTTACTTATTTAGATAGAGCATTCTTCTCTAGACTTAATGAATACACAATATCTGAGGTTAAGGGTTAATTGAGTAAAATGAAATAAACGATTCTACTTCGCAGAGAATTAATCTGTAATTTTTTTTTCCTGACTTTTTATCCCATTTTTACTAAAGTTCAAATTAAAAATAACGAAAATATCGAAAAATAGAACTGTCCGAAAATACCATTCAAAATAAAGTAATTTTAACAAACATTCATACTTGCATCACAACATTTGATCACACTTAATCTAGAACAAAAGGTTGTAGTAGCAAATTAGACTTGTCCAAAATTCGTCATCCCTTACAGGAGAAAAATTATATCTTCACATCAATAACATTTGTCTCGGCTAAAATGGCCACAACCAGAAATACTATGTACAGTACTATAAGTATCAAACCGTACATACGAGACATTTTAAATTTAGACAGTGGAACAACTAGAAGAGACACGATTAAGCTCAACATAAGGAATGCTGCCAGCACAACCTCTTCGAATGTTATCTCGAGCTGAAAAGAATAAGAATCTTGCATATATTTCCATTAACATGAACTGCTTAGCACAAAATCACATGTTAATTTTATAAGTTGATGGAACCTAAGTCAATGATAAAGCATTTCTTCTTTTTTTTACATTTGCCATATCTTACTACCAGTGGTCTGGACGTACGTGTATATGTCACATTACACCTTCGATTGTCCTTGCTCAAGAGTCATAATCATTGTCAGAACTATCTGGAAGCAAAGCTGACATTTAGTCTTACCTGATAGTCACTTCCATTTTTGATTGTAGCCACTGTGAAAGGTATACCTATACCAAGAAGTAAATCTAAACAAAGATAAGGAATCAAAGACTGATATAACGTATTTGGAAAGCATTACACATCAAGGTAAAGAATAATGGTTAAAGCATGTATCTTGTTTCTGTGAACGTCTGAAGTAATTCTATATCCTCAAGCAATCACAATAGTCCCTGCAGAACATATAAATGACTCTTTCACCAATCCATTGATTTGATAACACTCTTCCCACATTATCTACAAGTCTACGTGGCAACTGCATCTTTACCCTCTTGTCTGAAGCACCTGTGGTAATGTCATCTGGATTTGAAAGTCTACTGAGGATGATTTTCTCAACAGTATTGAGATACATGCCACCAAGAGTACACCTTTCATTAAAATCGTGATGTGAACTGGTTATCGAAGACCACCAGAAAATTAACAGAATTCATTTCATACATCAGACAAATCAGGTTTCCTCGTATGTCATCTATCTTATTACATGTGGGAGTAGAACCTTTCTACATCTTGTCCCAGTCTCTTCATCTCAGTAAACATACAAAGTTCTCATCCTATTACTGAAGTGGAGAGTACATACTACATGCTAGTGGAATTTTCCTTTAGTCAAGTGTTGAATGTCTTGCTAGAGACCTAAGGTTGCTAATTACTACAGATTACAGATTTGGTGTTGATGACCATTCCAAGGTTAGGAGCTCTACAAGATTGAGATACTTCCTTGGAGATACCAAACCTGGGCTACTGTTGTCGGAGACTTTGTAAAGGAGGGAGTAAAAGAGAAGTTGTGAGTATGGATGTCCTTATAAGCCCTGGAAAATAGGAATTTCCCTCTAGTCGAGTGATAGAGTGTCTGTCTAGACACTGTCTGGTCACTAGATTCAACCTTACCTTGGACATTTTTTCTGTTACTACTTCCTATTACACAGCCATCTGTGGTGCTGGGGTGATTTAATATTCTTCTGCAGATGAAAACTGTTCACTGACAAATCAATGTTTTGGTAAATGAGAATCAGTTCCTGCCCCATTATGAATACTTTTTTAAAAAGGGTCGAAGATTTAAGCTTGGACCAAATGAATTGCCCAACATAGTTATATCTGAAGTGAAATGGAAACAAATGGTGACAATAGATATTGGAATACATAAAAAAACAATTTTCAGAAGAAAGTCATATCTGTTTTAGGCACTCAAAAGATAGAATGCTCCACCCCAATAATGTGTCGGAGAAAAGAATGTGATGAGTTTTGAATAAGCTTCAACTCATATTCCAAAAATAAGTCAATGTCATGTAAACTGAAGAGATTTTGCTGTTCTTCTGCTTCCTGATCTTGTTTCTTCTCCTCTTGTTTGTGTAATATTTTCCTTTAAAGACACCAGCAATTCATTTATGATCTTCAGCATTTCGTTACGATTTTAAACAAATATGTATCCCTGAATATGGTTTACTCTTTTATTTCCACAGATATGCAGGTTGAAAAAGACCACAGCAAAGTATGGTTGCCACAATGACCTCATATATTTAGGAATTGTGTGATATGAAATGTGTAAAATATGCCAGACAGTTTCTTTGTTATTAAGTCAGTTCTCTTTTTTTGAGAACTTGACCCACTGACTCCGTGTAGTCTTTCCCGAGTTTGTTCATAATATTGTCTAGCTGTTTTTCTATGTCTGATTCCATCTTGCACACCACATAATTGTACAAAAATTTCCTCAGTGATGTTTGTCATCTTACAACCAAATTTTAATATAAATACCATAATTTTCAGGGAAAATTTAGTGTACAGATTATTTCTGGAACCAAAGAGTATATTTCTGGATTGTCGAGTCACAGTCAAAATAAAATTGAGGAAAATTGTTCCCTAGGATTCCCGACCTGAAATGCAATATTTCGAGACTACTGAAACACAGATGACTGGGATAGGATGGTATATGGTTTATTGTTTTGAATTTGTGAAAGGATACTAAATAATGGTCCACCAAAGCAGGCTGATATGCCCATCCTAGGATAGCCTTGTCTAGCCATTACTGTATCAGCAATCAAATCTGTTGGTAAACAAGTTAGCATTACTTCAAGTACAAATACATACACTTTTGTATAAACATAAAAATGATTTTATATCATAAAGAACATTGCAAAACATTAATCCTTTAGAAGATGAAGCAATACATCAGCATTAGGAGTTCGGCACCAGAAATGTATATTTACATTTTGAGACTAAAATCTTAATGTAAATGAAACTTATCACAGGAAATATATAACTTAAGGATACTAGGACTTACCACCAATACTATTTCCCCAAGCAAGCAGGGTGAGACCCAAAATAGCATTACTGATATTGAGCACGATCCCAAAAGTCTGAAATGTAAAGAAGTTTCCAATTTCAATATTTTTATTTTTAATTATCTTTTCTTATAAATACTTTAACTTATAGGGAACAAATATTATGAGAGAAAAAAATGCAACTTCAACTTTACGGTTAGATAAAGTAATACCTATAAGAAATATGCCAAAATATGAAAAGGCAATAGTCACCTTGGGATATTGGACCATCAGTCTTAAAATTTTTTTGAGATTTTTGACAAATGAGGCATTCAGTAGGCTGCCTTGAATTAGGGTACCCTAATATACACTTAGTTGAAATAATGACAGTTGACAGACTAATCCTTAATATTGTGTGTACCCTTCCCGAACAGGTAAAGCCTCTCTGATTCAGAGTTGCAAGTAGTTCATAAGAAAATTGACTGTCTGTTGAGGAATATATTTCCATTCCTCTGTAAATGTATTGAAATATCTGTCTAATTTGTCCCACAAGTGTTCGATTTGGGACAAATCAGGGCTTTATAGAGATCAATCAATAAGGATGATGTTCTGGGCTGCAAAATTTTCCCATCACATATATTGTGTACAAAATATGCCTCTCTCCATCTATTTCTACATTGCCTCTCAGCTTTTGGTTTCCCTTACCAATAGTATTTCATGCAGTTTCAGCTGCCATTAATCTCCTGTCATACAGATTGGCAAGCCTACTGAATCAATCTCAACATCATAACATTACATACTGATGCTCGAATCTCAGTCTGTAATTAATTCTTCCTACTGAAAATGTATTGGCAATCATGTGTCTTGATGATAGTCAAAAATCGACACTAGTTTGAACGGAAAAGGATGCATGAATTTGCAACATCACAGTATATTAGTAATTTATATGCACCAGTATAGATAAATTTTTTGTCACGGATGACTGATTTTTAACATATAATGGGTGATTGGTAAGGTGCCCTTATATTCCTCTTACTTTTTAATAAGGCATAGTATATTCAAGAAATTTTTTTTACAATTTAAGAAGCGTTTCTTTATCCTTTCAGTATATATAATTTCCATTCTGTATTTCCTAAAATTATGATATAATATTGCTTATGTTCTCTTCACAACTTTTCTGGAGTTCCTGCATTAACCTTGTCAAAAGTTAACATACAAATTTATATACCCGAGATTTTGATCTGTAAATACAAAGTTTAATTTCAATTGCAATTTGATGATTCTTGTGCTCGTTTTACCTGAAGGATGTTGACAATTTCATTGGCCACAGAGTAAATCCAGATACAAGCTACAAGAAAACCAAGATAGGCAAAGACCTGAAATAAATGGAAATCATAAATTTAACTGAAACGTTGTGATATTCCATTGATACTCAACGATCTCATGTGCTTACTTCAAAGATCATTTCTAGTCAGTTAACTTTAATTACTTTTTAGATACAATGAATTAACAATGAAGTGATGCAGAGAATTAATACTCTTAGCATGCACTATGTCCAGTTTTCAAGACAATCTACCATCTATCCTTACTCAGGACGTACAACCAAGAAATCATGTTTTGTACAATAATATTAACTATCCCCGACTGAAGGACAACAGTGTTAGTGGGTAGTTTTCTTGTGGTTCAAAGAAAATCAATCAATGGGTAAAAACTTCCAAAGAAAAGACATAGCTTTCCTTGATAGAACATAACACATGACAACATTATCCGAAGTTTTACTATTTGTAAGTTTTATTTTGTGGTTCAACGCTAACAACGAAAGTTTCTTAACAACAAACATTTCACATTAAATATGTACAGTATGCAAGGTGTCAAGTTGGCGCCAAGCTTATTTTAAACCAAAAATAAAATTAATCTTCTCATTCATATGTGCCTACCTTCAAGAAGATGAAGATAATGGAAAAATTAAGGTGGTTAACAAAGACAAATACATAGGTCTTATCTTCAACCGTTAGGTAAATGATTCTGAATGCCTATAAATCACCCTACGAAAGACTGTTAAGGTAAGCAAGTCAGGCCACAAAACTTACTGGATGATATTTTGGTTGTACCTCATCTTTTGAGGTAAAGAACACAAGAAGGGACAGACCAGCTCCTATGATGAGACTTAGTGCCCACAGTGGAAACGTGCCGCCAATGGTATCAAATCCAACTGTTGGAAGTTTAAATAATAAACATACAAATTATCATAGTAACCAACGACAACAAAAAGGTTACTACAACAAAAAACAAAACAGGAAACAACCCATAAACAAAATAATGTTATCATATCATCAAACAATTATTTCAGTACTTTTTCATTACATAAATTAAATACATTTTGTTATATGCCAATTACACTTAATATTTTGAAAAAAGTTTTAAAACTAATCGTACTTCTTATAAATTATGGTCTCCGTCATATTCTTTGTTTCCACCTGTATTTCCATAATTAACTTCCCTTGACCCAATAATACCTCAGACATTATACATAATTATATTCAGTTAAAATTAAGTCAGCTGATGTGACTTTATACATGTAGTGTTTTGAAAAAGAATGACAATGCCATGTTGTAGGACACCTGCTTTTAGCCTTTTCTTCACACAATCTACAGCATAGCAACTTGCTCTCTAAAGCAGAATTTTTTTAATCATACTTCAGATTACAATTGTTTGTAATAGCTTGTTGATTTAGAAATTTGAGTACTTAAGGAATACTTAACTTGCCTTTTGTAGCCAGAGAACTAAAAAACAGTCCTGTGAAACATTGTAGTGAGTTGAGGTAGCGATTCCACTTATGTTTGTCTTCATCATAGTCAACTACAGGCACGGTGATGACAAGCAGAAACATAATCGGGGCCTGTAACCATCAAAATGTACAATATAAATGATCAGGTGACTGCCCCGCATGTGGAGGTCTAGTGATAAAAGCAGTTAGACGGATACATGCAGATAAAGTTTCAAATGTAGTACATGTACTGTAGTGCAAGAAATTTTGAAGACAAATGTTGGGTATCTATGATAATACATGTAGTAGTATGTGAAAATTGGGAACAGAAAATTGACAATGTCATTGAATGACTGACAAAATTAGTACTGATATTAACATTTTACATCTTTTTTATTGAAATGTTGGTAAATAAAAACTGTCTACATCATGGAAAGTATCTGTTTCATGTTTCAAAGTTATTTTTAATACTTTTTGTCATTTTCCTAATGTTTTCCATATTTTTATGCTAAGAGCATAGCAAACACGTTTGGCAGGAACAAGCACAAATATTGACAAAGATTTAGATAATGTTTATGATATGTATACTTTTACAATCTTATAATATTTTGTATTTTTTCCATAATACATGTACACAAAACAATTTTACGTATATAGATATCACTTATATCTATATAGTCTTAGTGCCACAGAAAAATAACATAATAGTGGTACTACAAGGTTGTGTAATGAAACCTTCCCTTTTCATTATTACTTAATTAGTTATTAATAAACTTAATTGTTACAGTAATGCTGATGATTATATCCAGGTGAGCTAAAAACGTATCATAGCATTATAAAATCAAATCAATTTACAAATTAATCTAAAATATAAGTATAAAATACCATGATGACATAGATACAATGTACAACACAATGATTACACAGATACCTTAAACACTTCGTAGATTTTTGTATATATTTTCATTTCAGGCCACTTTTCCGTGTCTATGGGGTTAATGGCTGACAGGAAGTCTTTAAAGGCACCTCTGGTCTCTACATCATCACTCTCTTCCACAGACCGGTTTATTCTGTCATCAAGAAGAGGGTCTCTCTCTGATGCTGTGAGATAAATGTGATATATATGGTTCATATAATGTAGCTGTATCCTCTCGCTCTGATGCTGTGAGATAAATGTGATATATATGGCTCATATAATGTAGCTGTATCCTCTCGCTCTGATGCTGTGAGATAAATGTGATATATATGGTTCATATAATGTAGCTGTATCCTCTCGCTCTGATGCTGTGAATGAATGTGATATATATGGCTCATATAATGTAGCTGTATCCTCTCGCTCTGATGCTGTGAGATAAATGTGATATATATGGTTCATATAATGTAGCTGTATCCTCTCGCTCTGATGCTGTGAATGAATGTGATATATATGGTTCATATAATGTAGCTGTATCCTCTCGCTCTGATGCTGTGAGATAAATGTGATATATATGGCTCATATAATGTAGCTGTATCCTCTCGCTCTGATGCTGTGAGATAAATGTGATATATATGGTTCATATAATGTAGCTGTATCCTCTCGCTCTGATGCTGTGAGATAAATGTGATATATATGGTTCATATAATGTAGCTGTATCCTCTTGCTCTGATGCTGTGAGATAAATGTGATATATATGGCTCATATGATGTAGCTGTATCCTCTCGCTCTGATGCTGTGAGATAAATGTGATATATATGGTTCATATAATGTAGCTGTATCCTCTCGCTCTGATGATGTGAGATAAATGTGATATATATGGCTCATATGATGTAGCTGTAACTGCAAGGTCTTTACTTTTCTACCAATTGTGAATAATCTGAGAACAACATAGAGTGAAGGATAGCTTAGACTGGAGGACACATAAACCATAGGATAGTGTAGACTGGAGGACAACATAAACTATAGGATAGTGTAGACTAGAGGACACATAAACCATAGGATAGCATAGACGGGAGGACACATAAACCATACGATAGTGTAGACTGGAGGACAACATAGACTATAGGATAGTGTAGACTATAGGACAGCATAGACTAGAGGACACATAGACTATGGGATAGCGTAGACTTGAGGACACATAGACTATAGGATAGCGTAGACTGGAGGACACACATAGACTACAGGATAGCATAGACTGGAGGACACATAGACTATAGGATAGTGTAGACTGGAGGACACATAGACTATAGGATAGCGTAGACTGGAGGACACATAAACCATAGGATAGTGTAGACTGGAGGACAACATAGACTATAGGATAGTGTAGACTGGAGGACACATAGACTATAGGATAGTGTAGACTGGAGGACACATAGACTATAGGATAGTGTAGACTGGAGGACAACATAGACTATAGGATAGTGTAGACTGGAGGACACATAGACTATAGGATAGTGTAGACTGGAGGACAACATAGACTATAGGATAGTGTAGACAGGAGGACACATAGACTGTAGGATAGTGTAGACTGCAGCACAACATAGACTATAGGATAGCATAGACAAGAGGACAACACAGACTTTATGAGAGCATAGACTGGAGGACACATAGACAAAGGATCAAATAGGTGCTGTCCTTCAGAAATTGTCTGCAAACCTTACCTATATCGTTTTCTTTCAGCCTATGTATAAGAATGTATATAGGCTGAAGAAGAACATAGGTTTTAGGTTTGTTGACAAAGGCTGGAGGACAAAATACATGTAGGGTGGAAGCCACATTAATGTCAGAAATTGATACAGAGGGGTGGACAACCATAGGCTTGATGACAACATGTAGGCTGTACCTGAGCTGCTATGTTTGCCTGGAATGGTCTCATATGGTTCATCCTCTTCATCATTCCTGACCTCACCGTTCTGTACTAAGACACAAAAGTCAAATAGGAATAGCTATATAGTAAAAGAAAGCAAAACTACAAACTCTTGCATGGCATTGTGAAGTTTTTCATTCCTTCCATTGAACAATTGTCTCAATTTTACATAATTTATAAGAGGCCCTTGTATTGTATTCCAATACACAGTCATAATACTGAAGGAATCATTTTTCTTAGAATGTAACAATTCTCTTTAATATTAGATGTGTTTTCAGTTGCCATTTCACCTGAAAGATATAACTATGTAATCTAACACTACAACAAAAACTGGATACATCTTTATCTTCCAGTAGTGGAAATCAGCCAGAGTATTGTTAATGAAAAAACTTTAAATCCATACGCTTCATGTATGAATGATTCAGCTTGACAGATGATATTTTCTTACAAAATTAATCAGTATTTTTTGAAAAAGTAATCCCTTTTTCCTATTACGATAGGCATATTAAAACATTCCTATACTATCTAGAATTGTACAACACCATTTTATTATCAGATTACGAAGACCCAAGACAGACATAGGTCATATAACACAAGCCAAACAACACATCTGACAAAACTTAGATTCAATAACTACATTTAATTCCAATGACATTAAAATATTGACAGCTAATATTTGTTTAAGGATCCAGTTATGGCTTCAAAACTGATCAAATGTATGTAAATTGCTTCTACAATAGGAAAATCATACATAACTAAATAGATGTACTTACATGGAATGGAACTCTTGTACTTCTGATAAATATAGCGCCCAATCACAACCACGAGTACATAAGCAACATACATCAGAATGAAACCTTCAAAAGAAACATCCTTTTTACTTATATTGAATAATACACAATGTCATCATGATTACAAAACAAAGAAGGCGGGCATCAAAATACATTGTAAATGTAAACTGTTTAAACAATGTAAAACAAAGTAGGCGGGCATCAAAATACATTGTCAATGTGAACTGTTTACACAATGTAAAACAAAGTAGGCGGGCATCAAAATACATTGTAAATGTAAACTGTTTACACAATGTAAAACAAAGTAGGCGGGCATCAAAATACATTGTAAATGTAAACTGTTTACACAATGTAAAACAAAGTAGGCGGGCATCAAAATACATTGTAAATGTGAATTGTTTACACAATGTAAAACAAAGTAGGCGGGCATCAAAATACATTGTCAATGTGAACTGTTTACACAATGTAACACAAAGTAGGCGGGCATCAAAATACATTGTAAATGTAAACTGTTTACACAATGTATAACAAAGTAGGCGGGCATCAAAATACATTGTAAATGTGAACTGTTTACACAATGTAAAACAAAGTAGGCGGGCATCAAAATACATTGTAAATGTGAACTGTTTACACAATGTAAGACAAAGTAGGCGGGCATCAAAATACATTGTAAATGTGAACTGTTTAAACAATGTATAACATAATGCAGTCTTATATAAGAGATGTAGCCACACTCCCTTGTCAGAAAATGGTGTATTTGACACATTAGACTAACCACTGATTATAAATGGCACGACGACCCAATAACCAGCTTGATCACCCTAGATCCCTACAACTGGTTTAGGGACTAAAACACTGTTCCCTATATATATCACTGACCAAATAACCAGCTTGATCTGCGTAGATCCCTACAACTGGTTTAGGGACTAAAACACCGCTCCTCATATATATCACTGACCAAATAACTGGTTTGAACTGCTTAGATCCCTACAACTGGTTTAGGGCTTAATACAGTGCTAGGTGCTAGAGCTCTGACATTCTAATACATTGCTTTAAGTTTGAAAAAAACAACAAGCTTAATTTCTAAAAACAAAGTGCAAAATTTAAAAAATCACATTTTGACATTTAGTCAGTTCCATGTTATACAAAATATAGCATAAAGAAGGTAGGAATCAGGCAGATAAAGGATTGTTTTTGTTTACAAATCCTTAGATTTTTATTTACTACCAAAACAAAAGTAAAATTCCCTACTCAAATACCTATAGCCTCTATTTTCCTTATCTCCTTCTTCCAAAGAATGGTGAAGCTCCAGAAGGCAGCAGCTAAATAAAAAATCACATCCCTGAGAAATGGACGCTGCATAGCTTGGAATGGACAGATCACAGCGATGGACCCTGCTACAATTGTAGTCACAAACACACCAGCTCCTGTAATAAAGATAGTTGTCTTAACATAAACACAAGCAGCAGAAAGCATGTACAGTATATAACATGCTTTTCTTTCAGTATTGCTACATCCAGACATAACATTAAGCTTTTAATCATGGAAAAACAGCAGTTTCATTAATAAGGAGCATGCACAATAACTATCACTAAAAAGTATATGATTGTGATACATTGTTAAACATCAGAAATCCAAATTAAGAGTAACTCCATGTTGTGAAGAAACTTTCTTTGTTTTCATGGCAATTAACAAAACACATAAAAAGTGACAAATATGACTTCATATGAAGTAATTGTTTGTAAATTAAGAACAAACGAAAAATCATTTATCCTTGAAAACAATGTCTTTGGTTTAAATAATGAAATAAAATAGTCACTAAAAATTTTGGTTCATTGTACAATCATGCATTTAAACCTGAACAATAATAATGTATATATACAAACATCAATTTCTTTTTCACCTTTGAGTTGATTATTTCATTGTAAACTTTTTTTTTAATTTTTTTTTTTATTTATATTTTATTCATTTTCACATTTTCAAAACAAAACACATTTACATAAGACATGGAACAAATGGAGAAAAACATATTGTACAACATAAAGATAGCACACTAATTACACCAACAGGTACAATAGACAAGATGAGTCGAGGTTCTGATAATGTAAAGTGTAAACTTAACAAAGCATTCTATCACATGGATTTTCTAATATCTCATACCAAACAGGGCTCCGATAGCTAATCCAGCATCACCATTCTTCGCATTGCCGATGGCAGCAATAGCAGAGAAAATATCTGGAGCACCGTTACCAAAAGCCAGGAATGTAACACCCTAAATATTAGTTAAGGAGTATATAGACTACCATGTGATCAGTGCATTTCATATTCTTGACATACACGTAAATCTTACAACATGAAAAAAAATCATGCTCAGACAATGTAAGCTTGATTGTCACAAATTCCAAACTTCATATTCCATATACTTATTCAGATGCTATTGGTTCTGAATCCATGTCAAGTCTCTGTGGTGTTCACTATAAAGGATACAGCTACATTGTGACTGAGGTGCATGGTTTCCGATATCACAGATAAGGCTGGGCAGAAGCTGGAATTAACCAAATACATTGATGTGAAATCCCTGAAGTCACAAATCAACACACAGCAACAGTAAAAAAATGTTTATCATTTCTCATTCTAAAATGAAATGCTAATGAAACAAATCTCCAGCAAAGATTTCAGGTGTGTGTATTATATATCTCACATCAAGGAAACATCTAAGCTGCGTTACTATGGTCACCATCTATATATATATATATATATATCATAAAAAATTGACCTGTGAAAATTATAAACTACATAGTAATTCTATGTATTTCATGATTTTCAAAAAATAATTTTTCAACATTTTTCTCGAAAAATTCGTTGTCATTGTAAATTGATCTATAACTGATAATATCAATATTCAACTGTTACAAAAGTCAACAAAGCTGTATCATCAAATCTGTGATTGGACTAGAAGGACATAAGGACAAGAAAGGAATTTGTTCCTTCAATCTCCATCAGTATCTAATTTGCTGAAGTTACTTACAAATCATCAGCTGTAACAGCGAGGCCTATGAACAGGAAAATCCACCATATAAACTGAAAGTCAGAACTCGTTGTAGGAATAACACAGGCAAAATATATTTTTTCTTAGATTATCTACAGAACATTCATATTTTTCTTCAGCATGGTTTACAATACACTGTACAGATGCTACTTCTGATATCACGAATTTCAGCAAAATCTCCTCACACATATCATCAAATAAATATTCATAGCATACACTGCAAATTAAAGCTATCTGGTTTCATCCCAGTTAAATTGTTGATACATGTGTCACGGGTCACAGAAAACAAATTTTTTATGTTAAGATAAAATGTGAGATTAAACAAAATCTTATTTACAATGAGCTGTTTACTGCAGGATATTAGAAAACAAAAAATTACAAAATGACTTTACAAAATATTTTGTTTTAATCATTTCAATCGTTCCATACTAACCAGAAGAATCATTCCCAACGCAACTAAATGTCCTCCAGAACCGAAGTCACAGTATACAAACTGGGTGTAATCCAAGAAGCCTTCGTCAATCTGACAGTCATCAGTCTGTTTCACAAAATCACACCTGTCATCCTTTTTCTGGTTCAGCACTTCCCGACACTGAAACATCACACATACATCTCTATTAGAGAGTTTTGTATAAGTGTACAAAATACCTTTCCTCCAGATCAAATAAGAACACTTTTAAACAATTTAATTACAGGTATGTATTTTGAATAATTAACATATGTAACAAGAGGCCCAATGGGCTTAAATTGCTCATCTATTCTGCAGTTTATGAGGAAGATTTCATTAATTACATCAAACTTCAAAGCCCAGTTCTCAAACAAGTTATCAAGACCCTGTGCTTATAGGCTATTGAAAACAAGTCTTCCAAACATTATAAGATGTTAGATCCCTGTGTCATTGAAAGTAGATCAAGGTCAATCATTTGAACAAACATGACAACCCTTCATGCAAAGTCTGTTGGTTTTGGTACTGAAAAACCTTTGTTGATAAAAACCAAACACATGAAATATCCTGATCTAAATTAAATAATTTGAAGGGAATTTTATTGGTAGGTCTTAACGATTTAAAAATGGTTTTATCTTTTTTCCAGAAAACTCAGTATGGTACAACACATAAAGAGTGATACATATATATCTAGGTAAGCATTGTTAATTACATAAAATGTCAATATTTGTCTTGTTACTAATATCAATGACATAATTACTTACCCCGGTATACAGCCTCCTATCTTAATCCTAATGTTCTGATTAAGGGAGTGAACTCAAATTTTATGTGAGTGTCTTTGAATACCATATATGTCCAATTGTTGTGGTCTTACATATCAATTTGGGTCAAAATCATTTGTTTGAAGATAGGAACAGCTTTCCAACTCAGTGTACAACTGTGATAACATTTCTTAGTCATTCAGTAACATTCATCAACAAAATTATCAACATGCTTGAATTCCAGTTGACCTAGAATGGATGTCAAAGTCATTCTTATTTGAAAAACTTTTAATGATTTCATATATGATAATTATATATGTATAAGACCCTTTTTTACTCAGATACATTATGTAGTGCCAATAGTTAAGTATTAAAGGAGCAGGTCGAGAATTATGGCTAGAATAGAGAATCAATATTGCAAAACAATGGATTAATATCATGGCTGAGAATTTGGCTTATTTGTGTCTGTTCCTTTCAAGAACGTTATTTACTATTTTAATCACAACACACATATAACACAGATAGTTTTGTAAACATTGTTTCGTAAAGTGGGTCAAGTAATCTATCTTAAGAAATATGAATGATTGTATGAAAAAGAGAAGTGATATTATCATATGTAAGTTACTGCAATAATTCCAAAGACTTTGTCCAATGCTGAACCCGTTTCTTTTATGAACTAAACACATTTACATCAACGCCGGTGAAAATGAAAGCGGGTCAAGGCCATTTATGTCAACAACCTGAAAGGTCTCCCAATATAAGCAACGCCAAGTCAGACCATGACTATTGAACTATTTTTAATCACTATGTTTAAAAGTGACATTGTACAACTTACCTCCACATCGTCATCATCGTCTCCAAGTACTTGGGATGTGGTGTTCGGTGTTTGATGACCTGTCAATCCACGATGAATATCTCCATCATCAAACGATTTCAGCTCCCGTAAGACAACGGAAGGCGTTCGCCTGGGTACATGGCGGATTACTTGAGGGGTAGAAAATGTCTCTTGGTAAAAATAATAGACCAAGAAGACAGCTGATATAAGAAGAAGTCCGAGAAATTTCCTTCCTCCTCTGTCGGTGTCAAATTTGTATGACCTGAAGACCATTTTATTGTAGTATGTTTCCAGCCCATGGGTGTTGTGACAATTCGATGTATCTCGTTATGTTCGGTATCAATATAGGTCATCTTATCATAGAGATCTATATTGTGTATACAAACCACAAATGATTATCACCACATAACTGCTCTCTGGACCCCACCAGCAGTGAGCAGTCAGCTGCCTAATTTACATGACTGCCTTGTTTGGGTTTTTTTTTCATTTTAGAGTTATTCCCCTTATCTCACAAAAAAGAAATCAGTATGCAACGTCGGATTGTGTATTCCATTCTCAGTAGGGACAACAAAGAAATATCTATTTATCTATTTACCTTTTTTAAATAAAATATAAATTTACTCTATGCCTCAAATCAGAAACAACCAGCATTCCATATAATTACAGTCATACTACCCTTAGTTTTTAATACATTATTAAAAAAAAAAAAAAATTAACAGAACCTCTGTATTTGTTATCTTGTTTCATTTAGGACTTTCATTTATTTCCTTCTATAACACTAAAAAAGAGTGTGTGAATTATTTAGTGTGTGTTTTTGTTTTCTCATACCATAGGCACTGAATCTGGAATAATTTGTGTCCCTAGACATATATTGTCATTCGATTCAGAAGAATGCATTGAATGCTTTTAACAATATACTTGATTAGTATTTAGAAACTGCAAACAACGTCAGTATGATTGCTTCTGAAGATGGTATTAGTACAGTGAAGAAGAACAGTTATCTGTTTAATAGAAAGAAGTTAACTGCAACACCCTGTTTAAGTATTCGGCTCGTGTTTTGTTTTAAAGACGATAACAGGGTTCACTTCCCAAACTAAGCTTTATCTTCTGTGTAATCAAAGGCCCAGAAGACCTAAGTACAACAGTTTGAGTTATGTCATCAATGTGTATATTATGGACTGCAAGGGATGTCATTTTTTTGTTAGAATTTGTCACAAAAAACTTTACATGTACAATGAACACAAATTTTGTTAATGGCAGAAAATTCTGAACAGAAAATTCAAGTTCTGACCCTCTCTCCTGAAGGCACACCTTCCTTACTTACTATATCCTCTATATCTCAAGTTCTGACCCTCTCTCCTGATGGCACACCTTCCTTACTTACTATATCCTCTCTATCTCAAGTTCTGACCCTCTCTCCTGATGGCACACCTTCCTTACTTACTATATCCTCTATATCTCAAGTTCTGACCCTCTCTCCTGATGGCACACCTTCCTTACAATATCCTCTCTATCTCAAGTTCTGACCCTCTCTCCTGATGGCACACCTTCCTTACTTACTATATCCTCTATATCTCAAGTTCTGACCCTCTCTCCTGATGGCACACCTTCCTTACTTACTATATCCTCTCTATCTCAAGTTCTGACCCTCTCTACTGATGGCACACCTTCCTTACTTACTATATCCTCTATATCAAGTTCTGACCCTCTCTCCTGATGGCACACCTCCCTTAGTTACTGTATCCTCTATCTCTCAAATCCTGACCCTTTCTATTGACTTACACACATCTGTACTAATCATATCCACTACCTCTTAACTTGACCCTCTCTCCTTACCAGCACACCTCCCATACCAACCATACATCCACTACCCATTACCTCTCATTTGTTTACACTCACTCCTGGCCCTTACTCCTGAACTTGACTCCTAGCCCTGACTCCTGACCCTTACTCCTGACCCTGACTCCTAACCCTTACTCCTAACCCTTACTCCTGACCCTGACTCCTGATCCTCACTCCTGACCTTGACTTCTGACCCAGACTCCTGACCCCGACTCCTGATCCCGACTCCTGACCCTCACTCCTGACCCCCGACTCCTGACCCTCACTCCTGACCCCCACATCTCCCATATTGACTATATCCATCACCCTCCATCTCGAGTTCTGACCTCTCCTAACCAACACACCTCCCATCCTGACTGTATTCACTACCCTTTACTTCTCAAATTCTGGTCCTTTCTTCAAAACAGTACCTGTTATATCCTGACCATCTCTTTAAATCATTTGCAACTTTAACCTCTACTTGTCACCATTTTGCTTTTTAACCCTCATTCTTAAATGGCACATCTTCCATCCTGTCTCTGTCAGCAACCACCCCTCAAGTTCAAGTTCTCTTTTCTGACTAGTATCCCTTACTTTATTCTGAACCTCATTTCTATTCATCACTCTCTCTCCTTAATGACAACCCTTTATTCTTGAACCTCCCTGGTAACCTTCAATTAGGTGCATTTTTTAGCTATCAATTATCAAATCCAGACCTTATCTCCTAGTAACCATCAATCCAAACACAACTGGCAACACAACATCCTTATTCTTTCCAATCCACTAGCCAACACCACCTCATTACATTTCTTCTATTCTAACCAGTAAACCTGACATCCTGGCTCTGTTTCCTTATCAGCTCTTCTTTATTCCTGGCCCTCCTTTCTTAACCCCGTCATGCTTCACACCCTGGTCATCTCTTAAAGGCACCCCTCCAATTATATGCAAGACCTCACAAAAATCCCTCAAATTTGACCTTTTTCCTAACCATCTCTTTTATTTTGGCCCTCTTCAATAGCCACCATCCCTGTGTTCTGGCCTTCTCTCCTTCAACATTTTTTGTCCTAACCAATACTGCCTCCAGTCCTAGCTACCATTGCTGAAGTTCTTTCCCTGTTTCCTGCCTGACACCGCTACTCCCACACACACACACACATCATTCATCAATCCAGGCCCTCTCTCCTAACTGGAATCCTGTCTCCAATCTTAGCCCTCTTCAGTCTCCACCATTTTCATTAGCCTTCATCCTACAATTATCCAGTTCTTGTCATCTCTCCTTACCTGCCCCTCTCCAATCCTGCTGACACTCCTTACCAGAACACCTCTAATCATGGAACACTGTCGTAACCTGCCCCTCTCCACTCCAGGCCCTCTCTCTTAATCAACACCCTTCCTTTATTTCTGTTTCTCTCTCCTACCTAACATACTCTTCAGTCCTGATCATCTTCACCAGCCTCTAACCCTCAATCTTTGGGCCGGATATGAATTTACTTCTGAAAACATGCTAGAAGGAATCAAAAGTTTACAAATAATTTAATTGGATTGAAATACTACATTTGAATCACTCAAACAATATTGGATTATTGAAAACAACACTCGAGTCAGGTTTTTGTTGCATCATAAAATACTACTGATGTGGAGCCTACAACTGCAGCATTGTGGACTTGGTTCTTGGGAACATCAATCATATCTCCTGGCTCCAAGGTTACAGTCTGGCCATACATACAGAACTGAAATCTTCCAGTCACTATGGAGTCCTTCTTAGTCCAGTTGTGAGTATGATCAGGGAACACCATCCCAGGGGGAAATTCGTAGCGCGTAAAGCTGTACCCCTGAGTCTTCAATTTTTTCTCCATAGCTTGCTCACATAATTTACCATCAACTTCCTCGTCCCATTTTTCAATTTTCAGTTCTTTTGATGTGCTCATAGTCTAGAAATATTATAAAAGAATGGAATGAAATCATAATTATGATGCATGTAACATAGTGTCTTAATCTGTGGATTTACAAAAGTGTGTGAGAGAAGTATTAATTATCAAAAGTTTTCGATAATTCACCAAATTTTAACTATTGTCCCCTTTTCCTTAAAAACTGTATATGATCTTGTTTCAGGATATCATCAATACACGTATATTTGTTGAACATTATATTTTATCAATTGAAATGGAAATGCGAGTGATTGTCATGACATCAGATTTAAAGATAGTCAGTAATAGTTATTTAAATCTGGGTTATCTTTATAATAGATATATCTACTGATGTAAGTATATACGTCACTGATTGATAGGACAACACAATAATACCTGCTCACAAGCCAAGTTTGTGTATAGCGAAATCGAAAGTAGAGCATGTGCAAGTGTCATATAATTAAAAAAACGGAGTGTCATCGGCGTGGACGACATTCACAATCATTTATAAAATAATTCATATTAAAGACACAGTGACATTACCATATATGCTTTTAATAATAAAAAGTAATAACTTTTCTTGCACTTTCGGCTTACATCGTTATTCACAAAAGAAAAATAAACCTTGCCATCGCTGATTGGAAATAAACCCCGTTTCATTTATTAGACAATTTGTTAGAAACCAATCGGAACGCCTATATACTTTATGTAGTGCTTGATGGAAAATGAAGGAATTCCGAATGATGTAGAAACAATATGGCTGCGTCCATATCAGGACACGAGGATGTTAGTGATCAAGATTGACACATTTCTCACTTAAAACTACATCAAAATAATTTGTATTTGGCATTTCAAGTATATTCATAATCAAAGTATGTATATTATCAACAGTGACGATGTAATACACAGCCATTCGACCGAGGGCATGACATCACGTAAGTCAGTTTGAAGATAGTAGAAAAGCTCAAGCAATGTTTTCTTCTTCTTTATAATTTATCAGACTGGACAACCGGTGTACCTAATCTGTGTCCTGGGATGAATGAGTTTCCTGCGACATATTTATGTATTCAGCAGTTCATTCCTCAAGATTTTTAAATATTTCTTTTTGTATTATGTACTTTCCATCAGTGTCTAGCAACATACAACAACTATTCTGATTGACCAACTGAAAAGTATTGAAATTTACCGTTTAAGTTGATGCAGGGCATGCACAACTAACACTATACTTAACTACCAGGTAGGAGTTATTGTCCTGCGAGGTTGTCGCACACCCTGCATTTCATTAATTGAGATTAACTGGTATACATGGGGACACTGTCACTGATTGATAAGTACAGTTTATTCATAATATAGACCTTAACCTACTTTCAAGGTCAAAGGTCAACTATGTTTAAATCTTTAAATGACTACTCAATAATTAAAGGGCCCAAAGTGCTGATATTTAGTTTGTAACATGCTGGAATGAAAGGCAACCAATTGTTTCCATATTATTGATTTTAATAATTAGTAATGGCATTTGTGTTTATCAAGAATATGATTGTAAGTTTGCAGAAAATATTTTTTATTTTTGTAAGCTGTGGAGTAATTTGGATATGGTTGTTTTAATGCTTTAATATATGATGTCATGGTGGACATATTGGATTGATGATCTATTGAAAATGTTACATGTATATCTTCACATCTGTACCTACAAATGACTAAATAGACTATAAACATATCTCTTACTGACCAAATGATTTGGATTCCACAAATGTAGGAAGAAGAAGAAAAAGAAAGAACAATAACAACAGGACTTTTTAACAAGATGGTGAAAAACCCTAATATGAAAGAGAACAATGATAATAGGTCTTTTCATTAATTGGTGAAAAGCCTTAATAAACAAGTTGTATTCATATAAACCAAAACTATATTTCATGAAAGTTTCTCCACTAGAGTACTGCTTCTGACAATTAACTCATATGAAAATGAAGGTAAATCTGTCCAGTCTTTGAATCTACCAGGTAATTCCAAAGATCTAGAATAAGAAAAAGTCCACTTGAGAGCTAGGCTCTTGTTATACATGTATATGTAGTTTTCCTTTCATTTGGACCTTACCTGTTCATTCTCTCTTGTTAAAAATTCCCAATTCACCTGTCAGAGCCATGTATTAGTGTATTTCTCTGTATTTTATTCATTCATAAAACCAGATACATGTCTATGTTTAAATCTTACTTCTTGTAGATCCAACAACTGTTGTGAAGGTCAGGGGAAGAATCGTTTTGCACCAGACGGAGAAAAATATCGGTGTATCAGCAGGAACTTTTCTTTATTCAAACTTTATCTGTGTCAGGATTTAGTAAAGCAATTATGCAGATCCTGCATTACCTGAAGTTGCCATGGAATACTTACATTTGGTACAAAACCAGTGTACTTCCTTTCAGAAATTTTCCTTTTTGTCAAACAAGAACTACCAGCATTCTTATAAAATTCACAGGATGCACTTATTCCCAACCATTGTGCAAATTGGACATTTCGCAGAAGGATGTCTCAAGACATTTACATATTCCTTTGAAGACAGTTCCCAGTAGGTCACACACATGTCCTACTATGTCACTCCAACACACAAAATTCAACAGTTTGCATAAACATCATTGTGAATCATCTGTGGCCAAGTCAGTGAATGAGTGGAAGATAAGTCAATTAAAACTAGCCAACCATGCAGAATCAATGTACCAGACATTGGTTAAGAATCATCCTTGGTTGTATCCATATTCTAGAACAGTTGCATTCTCGAAAAAGAAAAACATCAGAAAATTGCAAGATGTAGAACCGGAAATGAAATCGACTGAGATGGAAAATTTAATTATGACTATCATGAATTCATTGGATAACATGGATGCAGCTAGTATTTCTTCTGTGTATCTTGATTTTAACCATGCAGGCCTAGAAAAGACACACACCCTGATGACAAACCTTTTTACGCAGTTGCATGTAAAATGGGAAAGTGTTGATTTTCTTTCACTTGGACGATATTTATCAGCTGTAGAGCACTACAACGGCAGTCACATCTTGATTGAAATGGAAATTCTTCCTAAATTTCAATGTCTACTTCAGAATGATCAGGTCAGATACGAAGACAATCCAAAAGAGTTTCTTCAAGTGCTGTGCCAACTTTCCTCCCATGGTATACTGCAGCGGACAGAAAATGATTTAGTATCAGATTTGTTACTTCAAATACTATCATTGTGCTTGGATGATAAAGTCATTGGTAATGACCTTGACCTTGTTGTTCCAGTATTTGAATTAGTGTCCTTGTTTTTGTTGGGTGATGATCGACTGACCTTCATCGAGTCCAATATTCATGATATATGTGAAAAGATTTTGAAACAAGTAACAGCTATAATGTTGAAAAATGTTCAACAACTGAATCTCCGTCAACTCTGTGCAGTCTTGGCAATGTCAGGAGAGGAACAAATGGAGTTCTTGTCGAAACCATTTTTGGAAAATATTCAGGCTCGTATGGAGTTTATTTTATTTGAAACACAACACTTTTCATCATACAATATCTTAGAGCTCCAACAACTTGCAAATCTTTCCTGGATGAAGATTTCAGCAGATGGAAGAGACAGACTTGTGAATTTGACATGGGAATGTTTGCAAAGTTCTGTAGAAGAAGATCATTTACCTCTAGAAATGATAATGTTCTTGAAACGTTCTGGTCTGGTATCTGACATGTTACTTGACATAAAGATTCCTTTAAGTGTAAAACAATCATTGAAACAAGCAATTCTTGATGTTGATATATTGAAACGTCTGGAACCCACAGATTTTATTGATTTGTATGACATAGTATCAATGTTTTTCTCAACAAAAAATGAAGATGACATAATCACCCAGCAATTACTATCAGAAGTACGCACTAACCCCACATTAAAAATGACAGGCAAATTACCACATATTCTCTATACTTTGCTTATCAATAGAGAGAGGCATCCAGCAGTTCAAAATCTTATCTTAAATAAGAAAGTTGTAAATAGTTATAACCTGTATGACTTTAAAAAGCTTATCAATTTCACAGCCAGGTGCTTTGGTGATATTTATTACCATAACCTTCATCAGAGACTTAACAAGATATTTTGTAGAGAAGGGAGAGAAAGGTCATTGGCCCAAAATAACATTCATCAGCTTTTCCTCTTGGGATGGGACAGAAGCTACACAAGCAACTATGTAAAACTGTGTGGAATTCCTAGCTGGCGACTACAACAACGATTTCGAGACCTTACATACCCTGCTGAGAGTTTAGACCAGGATGTGCTGGAAGCTCTAACCTACCTGTGTTACAAAGGGATAGACCATCATCAGATTGAAGTTGCCTGCTTGATGGTTCTGTGTTTGCCCACTAATCGGGGGTCTCTCTTGTACAACATTCTGGTGGACTACGCACTCAAAAACCAGGCAGCTATGAAAGCAAGTAATCACAGGGACCTTCTGCAAATCATAGTGAGAGCAGGACCAACCTTCACTGAGGCAAAAGTAGTTATTCAGATGGCCAATGACTTCATTGAACAATCAGAAACGGATGACATGGATCCACGTGTCCTGCTACAGATGCTTCGTAGTATGTCAGAGTTTAAGGTTTTTCCACAGCATTGCATCAAAAAAGTCTTCCAGAAACCCTATTTCAACAAACTGTTGGAGTTACTGCAAAGTACAGGTATACAATTTATGTTTGTTTTCAACCATAATATACTTATTAATAGACTTAATGCTTATTACAAACATTACTATGTTATTGTCAAAACTGTTGTTCTACACACAATAGATAGTTTGCTCTCCACGTATATATTCTTTATACTGAGCTTCTGGTTTTTGTAACTTTCAGTGTGTACGGTATGTTAAAGCTCAGAATTAGTGATAATTGGCTCTGGCAAAAATTCACATTGAATAAAAGACAAGAAAAGAAAAATAATTAAAACAGGCCAGTGTTTCTATTTGGCATGCAGTTTTATATTCACAATGATAGTAATATGTTCAGAGTTTGGACGAAACTAAATATGATGTCATTTCTACTTTGGCAATAGTTAATAGATTCAATTGATAGTGCTGCAGTGGCAAGTATTTATCTAATTTTATTTTTCTCTTTGTAGATTTGTCTTATAATCAATCAACTTTACTATTGGACAACATTATTAGGGTGAACAGAGCTGTGTGCCTTCTGTATCCAGAATATGGTGTGCCTTATCTACAGGAATTGATAGAATCCCCATCAGAACCAGGTAAATATGATGTGTTCTTATCGACAGGAACTGATAGAATCTCAGAACCCGGTAACTATGATGTGTTCTTATTGACAGGAACTGATAGAATCTCAGAACCAGGAAACTGTAGTGTGTTCTTATATACAGGAACTGATAAAATCTCAGAACCAGGTAACTATGATGTGTTCTTATCTACAGGAACTGATAGAATCTCAGATCCTGGTAACTGTAGTGTGTTCTTATCTACAGGAACTGATAAAATCTCAGATCCTGGTAACTGTAGTGTGTTCTTATCTACAGGAACTGATAAAATCTCAGATCCTGGTAACTGTAGTGTGTTCTTATCTACAGGAACTGATAAAATCTCAGATCCTGGTAACTGTAGTGTGTTCTTATCTACAGGAATTGATAAAATCTCAGATCCTGGTAACTGTAGTGTGTTCTTATCTACAGGAACTGATAAAATCTCAGATCCTGGTAACTGTAGTGTGTTCTTATCTACAGGAACTGATAAAATCTCAGATCCTGGTAACTGTAGTGTGTTCTTATCTACAGGAACTGATAAAATCTCAGATCCTGGTAACTGTAGTGTGTTCTTATCTACAGGAACTGATAAAATCTCAGAACCAGGTAACTATGATGTGTTCTTATCTACAGGAACTGATAAAATCTCAGATCCTGGTAACTGTAGTGTGTTCTTATCTACAGGAACTGATAAAATCTCAGATCCTGGTAACTGTAGTGTGTTCTTATCTACAGGAACTGATAAAATCTCAGAACCAGGTAACTATGATGTGTTCTTATCTACAGGAACTGATGATAAAATCTCAGATCCTGGTAACTGTAGTGTGTTCTTATCTACAGGAACTGATAAAATCTCAGATCCTGGTAACTGTAGTGTGTTCTTATCTACAGGAACTGATAAAATCTCAGATCCTGGTAACTGTAGTGTGTTTCTTATCTACTAAAATCTGCTGAAAGTGTGTTCTTATCTACAGGAACTGATAAAATCTCAGATCCTGGTGACTGTAGTGTGTTCTTATCTACAGGAATTGATAAAATCTCAGATCCTGGTAACTGTAGTGTGTTCTTATCTACAGAAACTGATAAAATCTCAGATCCTGGTAACTGTAGTGTGTTCTTATCTACAGGAACTGATAAAATCTCAGATCCTGGTAACTGTAGTGTGTTCTTATCTACAGGATTTGACAGAATCTCATACACAAACCAGACAGAAACTTCACAAGTAGATAATCACTTTAACTACACATACATGTATTATCACATTGCCCATGTGAAATGAATGTACATGTAAATGGTTCACAAACATTTTTTTTTTTTCATGTTTTTATTGATTGAAGAGACTGGAGGGATGGAACCCAATAGGAAAAATGGTGCACATTATTTCAAATGCTTCTTTTGTAGGAATGCCAGGATTTTGTCCCAATTTATTTGGTAGCATCCATTGGTGAAAGGAAATCAATTTTGTATAAGTCTTCAGTCTTGGCCACCGAGGTTGGGAGAGATGGGGGCCCAAAATAGGAAATCACACAAATTCTTTAAGATCCTCCTTCTTCTGTTATGCTATGATTGTATACCAATTTGGTAGGAAGCATCCTTAGATAAAGAGAAATTTTACATAAATGTATAAAACTGGTTGCTGGGATGGGGCCCAACAGGGGATATAAAGCAAATTATTATAATTCTTTATACTGTAGAAATGTATGTTGTCCACATTTGTTCGGGACAAAGCTCAAAGGTAGAACACTTGTAAATCTTTAGAATCGTTTCCCAATAGTATGGATAAAGCAAAACCATATGATATAGCTATACATGCCCTATGTGCCGGTGCTTGAGGTCATCAGTCAAGTTTAAAGGTCAAACATCACCGTTGACCTCTTTTTAATTGAAAAGATCATGTGTAATTAAAGATACCTGGTGAATTCATTAATAGATTAATCTTTCTGTATAATTAGATCAGAAGAAAGAGATGAGGTAGTGGAGGATATCAGTGCTCACATTGTTTTTATTTGGGAATGGTTGTGACATTATGCCCTTTAACATCCTTGTCTACTATTACACTTACATGTAACTGACTAAAATATTGTTGACCTTGTGTACCTATGATTTCTCATCAGACTAAGACTTCAGACAAGATTGTTCTGTTAAAATTTTTAGTTATTCTCTCATTTATTTATACATATTTATACATTCAGCAAACAAAGGCATGATTTTTAGGGTTCCTTGTTAAGAAGTTTTGTGAACATACTTTTTACTATAAAATATTATTATTTATTTATATGCAGATATTAACACAGCAGTGAAATCGGATGATGTCCATGCCAAGCTTATCTATCTCTTACATAAGCAATGCATGGTGGATGTTCTGTCAGCTGAATTTGGCCCGGAGTTTGTTCATACCAACCACAAAACTGCAGGCCTTAATATAGGTAAACAATGCTTATTATATAGCGAGCTTAAAATATCATTGATTTTGCAATAGTAATAATTTTGTTACAAACGTATCACAAAATGTGAAACATGTATATATATATATATATATATATAGTCATATCTATAAACAGTTAGAGAAAACTCTATTTCATTCAAATATGGACAAACAGCATCTTCCTTTTTTGTATTGGAACAGATATTGCAGTATATTTTGATGAAAACCTTGACGTAGTGAAACATTCTCAACTAGACGAAATGGAAAAGGCAGGCAAACATTACAAAAAGTAAGTCCCTTAGAGTTATATATGTATCATCTTAGTATATTAACACATGTTTAAGTCCTTCCTTTTTGATCAGTGAAAGATGACATGGCAGAAGCGGAAATAATTTTCACTTTTCATCACTGTTTACATCATTTTTAAATGTCTTTCTTTGGACTATTATCATCAGAAGGTGAGCTATGAAAATTGCCGTATGTCTGTCATCCGTCCATACAATTCTTGTTATTGCTATTTCTAGAGAAGGTTTTCATATCATAGTTGTGCCCTTTTGATTTTGGAATTAATCAGAAAAATACAATAGCTGAAAAGCAGCCAACTCCAATTTCGACCATGAAAGATTGTTATATCCATTTCTTGAGAAATACTGGATGGATGTTTCTCAAATATCAATTGCAGTTGTCTCTCACTCATAGTTGTGCCCAGGCAATTTCTGGATTGATCAGGAGAGCAAAATGGCTGGCAGACAATCGTTACGGATTTTACAGCTAAAATTTTTAGGTCATCTGACCAGAAGGGTCTGATGACCTATTGTGATCGCCTTTTTTTTGTGGGTTGTCCGTTGTAAACATTTTCAACTTCTTCTCAAGTTCTACATGTCTCATTGAGCTGAAACTTACCTGAAATGATGGCGACATGACCCTGACCAAAGTTTGTTAATTTCGGGTTTGTCCAAAATCCAAGATGGCCGCCATCTTGAAAACACATTTTCGACTTTTTCTCAAGTTCCACCAGTGTGATTGAGCCAAAACATGCATGAAATGATCATGACATGTGTTACTTCAAACATCCTCTGAATAACCAGAACACCTAGGGCGATGATATTTGGCCTGTAGCATGCTGGGATGAAGGTTTACAAAGTTTGTTGAAATAAATAACCATAACCCACTTTCAAGGTGGTGGCTGAGTGCCCTTGATTCTTAAATCCAGGTGAAATAAGTTCAAAATTTGAAATCTTGTATTTTATGTCAGATGACCGCTAAGGCCCATGGACCTCTTGTTTATCACTCTTTCTGGAAGGGATTTTCAAATTTCTGTTAATTAAAAGGAAAGAATAGGGAGGAGGAAAGAAGAAAGGAAAGGATCCAAATTTTTAAAAACGCCAATAATTATAAAAAAATGATCCTCTGGTATCTATAACAACAAGTGGCCCACAGCCTTAACAGTCATATTACTTACATAGAAGCTTACATAGAAGACATTCTTTGTACATGCTACTACACAAATGCCACTACTCTAAATCTTTTGCTTGTTGAAAAAGAAATTTTAAGAACTCAACTTCTTTAACCCAAGAGACCTTCAATATAGGTCAAGGTCAATTATTTGAATAAATTGGTAGCCCTTCATCTCTGCATGCTACAGGCCAAATATCAGCACTCTTTGCCTTTTGATTATTGAGAAGAAAGAGTTTAAAGATTTTTAAACATTTGTCCCCTGTAACTTGAAAATTGGTGAAGGTTATTCATATTAACAAACTTGGTGACTCTTCATCCCAGGATGCTACAGATTTACATCAACACCCTGGGCATTTTAGTTACTTAGAAGAGGTTGTTTGGGGATTTTTACATATTTGACACCTTTGACCTTGAAAATGGGTTAGATAACCTGAAAATAGAAAAGAAGAATGGGAAGGATCCATGTTTTAAAGAATAATGATGTGGATTCCTCTGGTATCTCTTGTTCTTTACCATATCTATCCTGCAATAAGCCTAGGGGGCCAAGCAATAAATCTTGTATTCAAATCAGGGAGGTAAAGATTATGATCGATGTGCCCTGTAGTAGTGGTTTCTGTTTCTACTGTAAAAATTATAAAATAAAAAATTACTGATGAGCTTATTTCTAGGCATTGCCTTTTGTATACGGTTTATAGTTGGAATGATTTCATTCCTGTCTCCCAGAGACTCTGCCCTTCATTTCACTCTATCAGGATAACAGATCTTGTAGAGCAATAAGCTTCACAGCTGATCGCGGACAAAAATGGCATGGTATGGGAGCTTTTCAAGTTTTGAAACAGGATCAGAACTCATTTTATCGTAAATTAATGTAGATGTTAATGCTGAAGTAATTACGTGTATATGTCTCTTGTTGTGATGATTATTGATCGGTACATTAGTACTTTGTTAGTTTGTTTATATTGTTTGGTTAATATTTATATTGTATTTGTGCATATATACATTTATGTAAATGAACTCCTTTGCAGACTTGCGGTTCTTTGTCTGGAAAAGAAGGATTATAATTTGATCACTAAAGGAAAAACAATGGAAGTTGAACAGAAGAGGGATCTTCTCATAGCTCAAGGATACACTGTTATTGCTGTAAGTATAAAGTACAGATTGTGTAACAAACCAGTGATATTTGTTTTCATACTGCTGTCAGATTTTGAGCTTCTCTTGCCAAAGACTGTCATTGGGCAGCATCCAATATGTATTTGGAATAAAAATATTTTGATCGTCTGTTTAAAAATGAGATATGATATCTAATTTGTCCATCAATTTTCATCAACCAAAGTCTATATGATTAATGGCAAAGGAACATGAGCTGTTATAGGAGTCCTTTAAGTTTTGTTTGGGGGTTAATGTTCAGCTTACAATACATTGCACAATGATAACTGGATACCAGATTGAGGGGCCATTTCTTGAGAAAGTTGGGAAGAATATTGATGTGTATGTTTCGCACGGTCCCAAGTTGTGCATCTTTGGTTTTGAGAATCGGTGTAGCAAAAGAGCAGCCAGGCAGCCATTTTCCATTATGTTATCACTTTTTCTTGGAGTCTTGGAAGAATAGTCCTCAATCTGTATGTTCCACAAGTTCAATAGTTCAGTGAAACAAAATGATGCTCAGCTGCAGTCCATTTTGTATTCTTACAGTTGAAATTTGCTACTGCTATTTCTGGGGAAGTAGTGGAGGGATACTTCTCAAACTTCATATGTTGATTCCCCTCTGCTCCTAGTTTTTAAGATGGCCACTAGGTGGCCATATTGGATTCACACAGTTGAACTTTGTTACTGCTATTTCTGGAAAAGTACTGGTGGGATATTTCTCAGATTGAATGTGTATGGCCCCAATCAGTCCCTGGTTATACCTTTTCAATTTTGCATCTATTCAAGAAAACAAAATAGTCGAGAGGAAACCATCTTGGATTTTGACAGTTGAAGTTTGTTATCACTATTTCCCAGAAAGTTATTGTTGGGTCTTTCTTAAATTTCGTATTGGCATTCTATTTTTATCAAAGAATTGAGTGGAAAAATGAGAAGAGGAAAGTGAAATGAAAAGATCAATCTTGTATATAACCAATAAAGATTATTCCATGCTGGGTACTAAGATCTCTGTGATCTCTTGTTCTTATAACCCTGAAATCTTATTGTAATGCTTTTCATTGTAAATATACTAGAGGAAAAAAGAAGGGTATATAATATGTTATAACTAAGAGGTATATCGAGGAGGAAATTGCCAAAATATTTTCAACAGGGTTTCATCTTTATTTAACATCATCTCAATTGATATGGTTATTGCATCAGCAGCGTCTTGGATAGAGATCAGTTTTCACAGACATTCTCTAAACAAAGTTCAGCTCATTAATATTCCTGTATATCCACTATTGGAATCAATGTATGCTTGACTACGATGCCTCATTGATGCAACAAGTATGCAAGCACATGTGACAGGTCAGATTACATTAACGGTTAATTTTTGAGGAAATATAAGCGATACTTCATCTCATCCAACACGTGTTATATAGGCAATATATCCGGTGACATTGCAGACCAGGGCAGCATATTTACATTGATCTTGATCAAGAATTTGGTGATGGTGTGTGCAAGCATTGTCCTGTTGCAGTGTGGCGTTACATTGCTGCACAGATTGAAGGGCGTGAGGCTGGTTGATTTCATCATGGTACCTGATGTCTGTAAGTTTGCTGTCCACATTCTCAAGAGCTGTTCTGCCACAGAATGAGATGCCACTACCTCAGAATGGACATCGTTGAATCATACAACTATCATGGAAATGTTCACCAACACAACAACTATCAAGATTAACCCTGGACTCATCCAAGAAAAGAACATGTGCCCAGTCCTGCCGTGTGAAATGTATATGTCGTCTACACCAGACTAAATGTGCTACACAATGACGTTGCTGAAGAACAGGATCTCTTACTGGAAGTCATGGATGTATGCCTTGTTGAAGCAATCGATTACATACCGTTTGGGGACTAATTCTTCTAAGGCCAGGAATACTTCTAACCGTCAAAGAAGCAGTTCTGAGTCGTTCATGGAGATGAAAGACAGGGGATATACATATCCTGGCAATTAGACATTACACGTTCTCTGGTGGTCCGAAACTGTTGGTACTGTCTCTACAAAGCTTTTTCAGTATTTCATTGCACATCAAATTGTCTGGTAGTGTCAGTATGACGTACAGCAGATTCATCATGCCTGCGACATGCACCTGTCAGTTTCATTCAACCTTAGAATGGCGAATCACAGATGTTTTTCAAAGTTATACTGGTTTTGTGTGTTACAGGGTTTTACACTATTCTTTTACACAGGTTTAGGCAACAAATGTGTTTGCAATTGACTGCTGGCTGAAGAACGTGAAACGCACACATGGTCCAGACAGACAAACTTCATGTGCAACTCATGTACTGACCAGTGTAAATGACAGAGAGGCTTTCTTGTCTAAAGTTTCAAGCTTTAATGAAATTGAGCAATACATGAACCTTTAATTAATGAAATTGAGCAATACATGAACCTTTAATTAATGAAATTGAGCAATACATGAACATTTTACACATGCATGGTTTCTTTTTTCCACTAATATATAAAAAAGACTGTTACATCATAATCAAGATCCACCACTTTTGTCATTGGGAAGTTTACCAACATTTTAAGTGGAGAATAACATTTAAAATGATAATGCTATTAGCTCCAGGTGCAAACTTTGAAAGGTTCATAAAATGTATTTGGGGAAAAATTGAATCATTTTCTTCATACTCTGACTGCCCAAATCATGTTTATTTTCTCCAACTTCCTTTTTCCATTTGAAGAGATATAATTTATAGCTTGCGGTTGTTTTTATTAACAATTCAACAATTTCAGGTCAATATTCAATATTTTAGCTGAAAATAATTCAAACAGAAACTTGTTTGAAATATTATTACTGTATTCAAACATTTGATAGTGTTGAATATTAATCTACATGTAATTACAGGTATGAAATATGTTGATTGAATAGGATCAGTCTTTAAATCATTCAGTCACATTTAATAACTTTTTCTTTTCAGACTCCCTGCTGGAAAAATGAAAAATACAAAATACTGATGGAAAGGGCACAGCATCTCCTGTTTGAAATCTATGGCTCAGTTGGCAACAGAGTCATGTGAAGGAACAATTTCTGTCTTGGTGGACTGCTTAGAATTCAACTGTGCATGAAGCAAGATCAATTACCACATAAGATAAAATCATTTTAGTAAAGCATTTGATAAAAGTACCTTTGTGTTTATAATGCAGGGTAAAACAACCACAGCAGCTTCTGAGTTTGAGTCCTTCAATTTATCACACTTGTCAATTCATCACAACTGATGAAACCCAAACAGAGCGAAACATGTTGATAGGTGTAATAAATTGAAAAATTCAAACTTGGATCCTTTGTGGATGTTTTACCTAGGATTGATTATCGCTACGACCTAACCACCACGCATCCTTTCAGGTGTCCAGCAGAAGAGTATAGGATACTTGGATCGACCTTATGATAAATTACAGCGTGGCTCTATCCCTTTTATTTTTACGTTTACAAGATTAAATGTTTTGTCCACCAGGTGTATGTCACATGTTCACCTCAAAAGTAAAGTTCAACCAAATATAGGATTTGATTAGTAAATGTATATGATACTAAATGTGTATAATACTAAAAACATATCTATGGTGGGTATTCCTTGAAGATAATCTAATTTATCATGATATGGCAATAAGCATTAGACAAATTTTTTTAAAAGCACTTTTTCAAACCTGTATGTAATAGCAGCTGTTGAAATGCACGTGTTCAGATGTTTGGTAGTTGGTACACATTTCTATGCATTTCTATGAATGTCATGTTTTCTTTGACATGTACAGGCCTAGCCCTCTCCATGACAGTCAATTTAATCAGATTGATTTAATATTATGAAATAAAATAACTTTTGCCAGACTATCTTCCTGTCTATAAAGAATTGTAAAGAAGTTTGAAAGAAAGTATGATTTATAAATGTATAATTATTAAAGAAGAGGTCCAATGGGCCTGAAGTGCTCACCTATCTGTAGCTTACACAGAAGACTTTATCAGTTCATGAAGCAAATTTCTGCAAAATTGAAAGCATATTCCCCAAGCACACTACTCAAATACCCAGTACCTCAACCAAGGAAATATTACTTGTTGGAAAGTAAAAAGTCCTTAATACATTTGACCCTGTCACCTTGAAAGTAGGTCAGGGTCAATCATTAGAACAGATTTAGTTGAAGTTGTTGAAGATTTCAATATATTTTACCCCTGTGATCTTGAAATGGTTGGTCTTTGATGGTAGATTAATCTATGTTCATATTAGAGGTTTACCATGTGCATTGAAATTTAAGTAGTCTTTGGAATTGGCTGGTAGAAGTTTTCCTAGATTAAAGTTTATAATAAACAGTGAGGTAGGTTTACCATATATAAGTTTTAACATACCTTAGAAATTATCTATTTTCAGCTGAGTAAATAGACCAGAGATAATGGATAAATATTTGTTGTTTGGCAGCATAACACTATTACATATATTAAACTATAATACTTACTGCATTAAAATTGATTAAAACCAATACAGAGTCTGTCTTTATTTTACCATAACAGACCTTTGATGATGCATCTCCAGCTACACGATGTATTCTTTTTATCATTACCCTTTGTACCTTAATTCATTGTTGAAATACACTTTGTGGTTTTCATATAATGATCTTTCTCATATATTACACCACTCAGTTTACTTTTTAAGAAATCTATGATGTAATAATCCAAAATCAAAGGTTTTTTATTTTTAAATATGATTCAAATTAAAAATTCAGTTACATATTTTCAATAATATTACTGTACTTCTATGTATACAGATAACTGTAGAGTCTCAAACATGCTTGCCTAATTGGTGTGCATAACTTAGTGAAGTGTCTTTGTCCAGACAGAAATATACACTGAAACATTATTATGTTTCGATCAAAAAACAAACAAGGACATAGTTATCAAGGTCTCCCACCAACGTTCATTTGTAAAATATGTACATTTAAAGTGAGCAACCTGGAAAACTGGAAAAGATATCAGCCAATCAGGTCACAGTAGCCTCATTAAATATGTGCGGAAATTGTAGGATTAAGGTAATACGTGTACCAACCAAGTTGAATATTCCCTGCCAACTTTATTGGGCAAGAGATAACTAAATTGGACATTACTAGCAAGAGGAACAATATAGTTTGACCTTAATTTTGTTCTTTAAAAGTTGAATCTTTTCCTTCCTGCTGTTTTTTTTTTTCTCTCTTTCTGTCCTTTGAAGGCAGTGATAATGATCCTTTACTGTCCAAAAATCAAAATTATAAAGGGCACACAGGCTAAAGACCAGGCAGAACCAACATATATTTGGGAAAGGTGCAGGAACTTCTCTAGAAATAGTGATAAACTGTGATAGTCAATACCAAGATGGCGCCTAACCACCATCTTGTTTTTGCGATCAGTCCCCAAATATTCATAAACAGGGACAACTGTGAACCCAGAAATAGCAATGACAAACTGTCGAATGCCAAGATATTTGTCTAATCGGTCCAAAAATGGAAAAATGTACATGTTTTACTATGAACTGATTTAAGGTAAACCGATATGTTTAAAATGTGATAATGATCCAAAGGAAAACACTTTTCCAGAAATAGCCATAACAAACTTCGAAATCCAAAATCAAGATGGCTGTCTATTGACTATTTTTCCCACTCAGTTTAGAAATAGTCTACACGCCAAGGGACCAAGGCAAACCTACATACCAAATCAGAGAATGATACGTCAAACGCTTCTCCAGGAATACCAATAACCACGGTTCTTTTAGGATAGATGACGGACAATTTGAATAGCCTATCTACAAATATTTTCTAATTCGTCACTCAACATTATTTGTTATTCAAATAAATGACAAAAGATGTTTTGTCAAGCTGAGCATAAAACCAAACGGAGAAGAAAACATAAAGACTGATATTAAGTCAACCCCCATGAGGAGCAATCCTACCAGTGGGTTTGTGGGATTCCTTTGATTCATTGTTGATGTTAGAATAAGTCCTTACGGTAAAGAAGTAACACAAGAACACTCATCCAGTTGGTTGTATTTTAATGTTGAAAGAGCATTTAAGACATTTAGAGAGACATATGCATTGTACATATTATAATCAGTCTACAAATCGATATTTTGTAATTATTACTCTTAACATATATACCTGAACCTTGACACTAATTAGGCTTAAGTGCAGGTTATCTGTGTTATACAGATAGAAAGCCATTCTCAAATTTCAGTATTTATTTTCAAGCTGTAATATCAACATAAATCTGATGATTGGGAGGCCTTCACTCCATTAAGGTGTATAAACAAAAATTACGGAACAAAAGAAAGTTTGACTGTCAGAAGAATTAAATATGATGCCAAGATAATTTTTTTGTAGGTTTTGTGAATGTAAATCTAAAAGCAAAATTTCACAACAAAATTCAGGTATTTTCACTGAGAGAGAAAGCTTCGAAGACGGTCAAATCTTCAGAGAAAATCACGCTAAATATGTTAATAGTGCAGCAGTTTATTTATGCAGAGTTTTCCACCTGGATTTTTTTTTCTTGAAGCTTAAAAATCTTAACAACATGTACATATTTCAGTAGTATTGGACTATTTTTTCTCAACACTTTACATTATTTTGATCAGCATTTTAACAAAATCGTTATTTACATATAGGTTAATTGCTTAGGTGCGATGGAAGTGCATGTTTTTGTCAACAGATATATACGCACTTTAGTATAAGATCATGTCACCTGAAAAATTTATATAAAAAAAATCAACTTCAATAACAACTATAACAAATTGTATCCATTCATCACTAATTAAATCCATTAATTTCATTCGCATGCTCAGAAATTCATAGCAATACTGATATTACTATAGAAATGACTGAAATTCTTATAATTTAAGCATAAAGTAGCCAAACACAGAAACATTGCTGTAGGTTCCAGGTGCTTAACAGTGCCGCTAAAATATTGTGAAAAAATCAAAACAAAAGTCACATGGGAATATGAATAATTATTAGAATAATTTTAATTCTGCTCCTTCCGTGAAGACAAGTCTTTGATTTTTCTAAGATGATGACTTCAGCTTGGTTTTGTTTCTAATGTGAAGTTTCAATGATACCCATACTACTACATGTGTCCAGCCAGATCCTCTAACAAAACAAACAAATCACACATCTCTCAATAATAAAGACTCCAGCCTTATAATAAACACAAAAAAACATGCCTGGTAGATATTTAAGGGCACTTAACTCACATTTCCTCTCAGCACCAAGTTTAATCGTTCTTACGTGGAATGCTCTCTATCAACAAACACTGCTTTAAGCCTTTTATGTACAGTCGAGAAGCTACAAGTACATCTCATTTTTAACTTATTCCAGAATTTATGTTACTAAAATGTGGAATGATATCCTCTTTCGTATTCAAATTTTAAAAGACAGGATTAAACAATGATGCCAATTTTTTTCCTCAATTTTGTTTTTTTTTTTTTAAAACATAAATATCAAAAGTTTTTTTTTTCAGATAAACTGAAAGTACTTTTCACTAATGAGCAACATATAACACTACAAAATTTAGGGACATATGCAAAACTGTACTACAAGAATAAGTTAAATACATATAACTTTATAAAATTTCTGGAAACAATTTTGAAATTAGACAAGTACTTGTGTGATATTTTCACTACGTAGCAGCTACAAATGTATAATGATAAAAATATAACATTAAACAAATTTAGGTAGATAAATATACAAGCTATCAATATACAAATATACATATTAGCTCATGGAAAGAAATGTACACATAGCAAAAGTGTCAACATCATCAGCATATTTTATAACTAAATATTCTTATAAGATTACACGACATAGGTATACCCTTGTAGATGATTTGAGTGTTATGTGATTTAGCAGCCAAGAATGGGTCAAGTGTAACTTCTGCACAGGTCAAATACAAATATGTACAGGCCAAGTACTTGTGTGCAAAGGTAGGATATTACCAGAACATTACAGAAACTGCCAGGGCCGGTTCAGATTGTGTTCAAGGGAGCGAAAAATTTGTCTTTACAATACAATGCATTTATAGAACTGAAAATTTTCTTTGCACATTTGGCTAAATTCTCAAATTTCTTAAATTTATAGATCTTATCTAATTCTGAACCGAACATCAAATACTGAAAACCTTGCTTGGCATAAGTTCATGTTGAGGAAATATCATCACTGTTCTCTACTGAACCCATAGTATTGTATGATAAGCTGTTCTAGTAATAATGTATAATAAACAGACCTTTCTAGTATCCATGTATAATAGACAGCTTATTCTTGTATCAATGTATCATAGACTTGCTATTCTAGTATTAGTGAATAATAGACAGGTTATTTTAGTATCCATGTATCATAAACAGGCTTCCATTATCCATGTATAACAGACCACCTATTCAAGGAAACAATGTAAAATAGATTACCTGTTCTAGTATCCATGTATCACTAACTAGCTATTCTAGTATCCATGTATCATTGACTAGCTAGTATTCAGGAATAATAGACAAGATTATTCTAGTATCCACATACAATAGAAAGGTTATTATATTATTTATGTATAATAGAATCACTATCTTAGTAATCATTCATTTTGTAACAGATTTTCGCGTTGGTATGTGACAGAATAGTAATTCAGTACGTGTAATAAACTGACCATTTGCTATGTAGTGCCTACATTTGATTGAAGGACAGTGCATGTTACCATCAGCTACATGTTTTTGTTTATATATCCCTGAACTTCTCCACTTATAAGCACGTTAAAAATATAACAGCCAACAAAAAAAAAGCGGCAATATTCCAAAACAAACTCGGAAAGTTACTGCATAAAAAATACAATTCAGCAAAATTGTTTCATATACAAAACATCAAGCAAATGAAATTGTATAATGAAATACATATGCATTATAAAAGTCAAAAGGGAGGGGAGGGGATAGCGTTATTATTAAGGAAGTCAATAGTTTGATAACATGTAACCTCTCCTATAATACCAGAGGTTTTAATCCCTATATACACATAAACTATTGATTTTTTTATCAGTCTTTATTTATAAGATCAGTTAAATGTATAAACTCTCTTTGTCCCAATATATTCATATCATGTCCATTATTGAATACAATAGTTTTGTTGTATACATGAGTTCTTAATGCTATTTCTGTAAAAAAATTACTAACAAATATTTGACACCTAAGGCTGCACAAATTGTACCTAACATTCAGAGAACATCTCATCAAGGTATGGTAACACTAATATAAAGGCAAAATGCTGATCTCTAGGAATATAAGACAATCTACCATGTTATAATCTGGATTTCAGCAGCAAAATTTCACGACTTTTTTTTCTCCTCAGAAAATGAAAACAAAATTATTTCGCTCCTAACAACTATACTAATGTGTGGGCACGTTAAACCCTTCGGATTGGATGTGAAATTGTTCAATATTTCCTTGGTCTTCAATTGTTGCCATTTCTAGGATAACTGGACAGAATTTACCTTGTTGGGTCAGGATAAAGGTTATAAAGGTTAAAACACAATAGGCTAAACTCTGCTGGAGTGTTTAATGTGTTTAACTTACTGGGAGGAGGAAAATCACACTTTAAACTTTCCCTTCTTCAAGAAATCATTAAAATTTCTTTCCTCAATCTTGACATATATATTGAAATGGTCCCTCCTGTTTTAACATCCAGCATATCACAACTTGCTTCAATTCAAACACTTTAGCTTTAAAATACAATGTGCTTTAATTATATTTTCTAGCAATATGTACTAGATTTTGTAATAACATTTGACATAAAAATGAAAAATTCTTTCTTAAGACCAACATTCCTGAAACGACAATTTGATGCTCAGCTGGTTAAGGAAATCATTTTCAAAATCAACAATAGTAAAAGCTAGATATCTGCTGCACATGATAAGCATACTGTGAACATTAGCCTTTAAGCCACCAGAACATTTACAAAGGAGTATCATTATACATAAATTTTACATTACCAACACACCAATAACCAATAGTTAGTGCTATCCAATTAATGTCAATATCTCCATTCATATTAACATCATTTTGTATTACTTAAGATTTAGGCTGACAACTATGATGTGTGATGCCATGCATCTACTGTTTCTCATATTTATCCAATCTATAATGTCATTACCTAATTGAAACTTTGTGAAAACAGGAGCACAGTACAAAAATTAATTTATACACTATGTTACAATGATGTGATAGACCTTGTTGAATATTTTTTCTCTACACTTACAAATACTGTACATATTTCCTCAGTGAAAACAATACAAATGAAGAAAACTTGGTAAGTTACAGCTGTATTATAGAATAACACTTTGATCGACATGCTACCTTTAACAGTGATGTGTTATTTATCCTTGCATATTTTTGTCCTTTTCATTGCCGTACATTTGTGCAGTAGGCATTACCTGGAGAGGTGGTGATAATTGTACCTAGCACTCCAACCACTTATAACACTGATAGGTCTTTATTGCAAAATAACACCAGATATATATGTTGTAACCAGTACCACTGGGTGTCTGTATGTACAGTAACCACGTTAATTTTCCTTCTCTTGTGAAGCTGCCTCTAGGGCTGCCACCCTCTTCAGTAATTCACTAATTAGACCCTCTTGTGCCTCCACTTTATCCTGGAGAGTTGTCACCAGTCCCAGTAGTTTTGAATTGTCCTGCAAAAAAAAAATCATACAGGTTTCTTAGCAAAACCGATTATACCTCATTTTCCAACACACATTACTTCATATTTCCTGTGTCATATTTGGCACTTTGTATTATTTATAATTTTTTTATATAAGTTTGATGCAGAACACAATTTAAAATTTAAAATCATATGATTGGATGAAAAATATCTTCTCATCATTTTGTTGCTGATGAAATACAGTAAGTTCTTTTACAAAATCATTACCTTCCTTTTTGCTGTCATTTAAAAATTGCATAATTAAATAACTTTCTTACAAAAAAAAAAAAAAAATATTGTTTTAATTTTTAGAAAGTGTAATAATGCTAATTCATTGCTTGTGTTTCTATATATTAGTAACTACACATCATTCCCCAACATGTCCCATAACCTTTGTGCTTTATCTACGTGTCTACAACACTGGCAGCTTGGCTGTACACAATGGCAAAGTAGGAAATTTCAACAATAGCAAATATCACAAAGCACTGTAAAATACAATCACAGATAGAACTTAATCACGCTCTTGTCAATCAATTAGTTCTTGGCCCTGAATAACTGTTTTCAGTATTAGTCTGTTAAAAAACAACATGATAAATAAAAACAACCAAAATATATGCAGGTACTAAGCACATATCATAGGCACATATCTTCTTACAACCTGCTGTACTGTCATCAATTCAGCTTGAGAATGAAATACATTCTTTTAAGTAAAAATAATAGATTTCATACTAAAAAAATCTCTAGTTGAGAACCACAATTTTGAACTGGAGCTTGCCCTATTTACTGAAATAAATTTGAGACTCCTGTTCAAAACTGGAGAACGAACAGGTAAGCCATACCACATTTTATCTGACCTTTGAATATATCATTTGGACAATAACTGTTGTGTTCTTACACTTTATATATAATACTTACTTTTAGACACTTACACAAAGTTACTGACAACTTAAAATGAAATTATCTTAGGCAGGGAAATTACTACATGAAATTATCACAAGATCTTCATTCCAATCTTTCTTTTCTCTTTTCTTCATGAATGATAAACAGAACATGGCTCCTGTGATAAGGTATAATTTACAACACACATAAAGAGACCTGGGATATAACCGTCAACAACAGCAACTACAGGGTCCACAAGAACATCTACATTTATCAACAGAATCGCTTTCAACATTTCTTCTGATCTATGGGCACTGCTTACCTAAAATTAAACATCTTAATATAATGTCCTGTATTTTACTTGCAGTAAGCCTTTGCCTGGTAACAAGCCCATTCACACATATAGCTATACAGAAGAAAAAACAATAAATTCCATTTCATTGTCATGCCATACAAGTTAATATTCAGGCTCACTCGCCTATTTGTCTTGTAATAAATCCAACTCTGATTTAAGGCAGAATTAATATGCTAGTACCGTGGGATTTCTATAATATGTCAAATCCTGACTTTAAATCAAACTTATGATTTGGCCCCCTGGGATTATTATCCTGTATTTAGTCCATCTCCGCATTCATCAGCTGGTTATCTGGGCTTATTGTCCTGTAATAAGTCCAGCATTGATGTGTTGGCCATCTGAACTTATTGCCTTGGAATAAATTTGATCAAGACAATTAGTCAGAATCAATGTATTGGTACTATGAGCTTATTGCACTGTAATCAGTTCACCTCTGACTTGGTCAGCATTGGTATGTTGCCCCTGGGCTTATTGTCCTCTAATAAGTCCACCCCTGAATTTGGATCAGAGTTAATGTGCTGGCTGCCTAGGCTTATTGCAGATAGATAATAAAGCCATTAAACACAAATTTTATTAATGCATTAGTAACTAAAACTAGTTTCTAGACCAATCCATCTAGACTACCAATCACAGATACAGTCCACCAATTTTCTGTAAAAAAAAATTTAATCCATTCCAGTCTTAAACAGTTACCAAGAATGATACATGTGTAAAACATGCTACTACCATACAGAGTTTTTCAAAAATCAAAATTTTAAACATGAACTCAGTAGTTTCCGAACTTTCAAACAAAATAACACAGCATAATGCATGAATTTTTCATGGGATAATTCTAAAATGCTTGAATGTATACTAACGTGAGGATGACTATCTCAGGAAATAGATTCATTGACAACTGTACTGCATTTCATGTTTATCTTTACAGTAACCTTCAGGTATTATGATTTTAAGAATAATTTTTTAACTTTAAATTACAAATGAAGAGAAAAGTAAAGTGATGAAAAAAAACCCTGCCTCATTCTTCTACATTCATGGCTAATGAACTGTCCGACACATGTGTTCAGTGTATATGTAACAACCTAAGTAGCAAATCTATCTAGCTGTGTCTTCACTTTGACATACAAAGATAAGAAGACTGTTGTGAGATCATTTAATTATGGCCTGCAGAATGATAAACACAAAATTACTATTCAATAATGTTGTATTGTGTAAACTTTCATAGGTTTATTTATAAATTGTAATTGCCATTTTTTTAAACATAAATGTTTATGTAATTTAGATACAAAGCGTTGGAATCAATTATAAATAAATGAGGTCTAAAGAACTCAATATTCCTCTTACTTTTCTACTGTTTTAAAAATTTTATTGATCCAAGAGAGCTCAAGATCTACTATAGAACATGGAGACAAAGACTTAATTATCCTTAATTGAATTTTAACAGGTTAACATAAATGTAGTATATGAATGATTAAAATCTTTTTGATAAAGAATGAAAAAAAATTTAATGTACTGAAACACAACACTATCAATAAATAAGATTCCTGATGTTACATATTGCAGAAATTTGTGGGATTACTGTTTTAATCGATATGGCGTTGAACTCTTCTAATATCAGAAAAACAAAAATTCAATATCAATGCATTATTTTGATTGGCACTATCACTTTATATCACACAAACAAATTACATATAATTACACCTTTGCAGTTTAACAAAAATGAAAAAAATTGTACACCAAATGTTGGAGAAATGAAGACGCCGACCTTGTTCTATTCACCACAGTAATCTCTAAGCCACTAATGAAGTTTCGGTATGAGTTATCGATTTTGAGGAAACATTTTGGCATCCTTGCTAACATGCCTAAAATCAGTGTATCAAAAATTGGGGGGAAAAAAGGAAATGCTGTAAATAGAAATTCAAATTTGTGTACATTTAAGAAAAATGGTGCAAGATCTACCCAGCAAACGAACAAAGGGCAGATTTAGTAACAACTTCCAAAACTGAAACGAAGGTTCTGTCTGAAGCTCGAGCAACAAAAGTAAACTATGAAACAGAGTTAATCCAGTCACCAAAAAGTTTCACCAAGCTAAGAACAAAGTTGTGGATTAGTGGAGCGTGCAAAAACACCAACCTACATATTAGGAATATATTGCACTAAACAAACAGAACACAGGAAGATACATATACATATATATACGTTTTAGCATTTTTCTCCATTTTCTTCATCCGATGACAAAGCCTCGTATTGTGATACTCTTTCCTCTAAGGTTTTAATTCGCCTTTCATGTGCTTTTACAATAAGTTTGAGTTTCCTGATATCGTCGATCATGGCCTGTGGATCAAAACCCTGGATCACAAGAAAAATGAGGAACAAATATAAGGTGAAATGATAAGGTGAGGTCTGAAATCACAATAGTCAAATTTAACGTGAGCTGGAAAATCAGACTGTCCTTTTGTACTAGAGTGGAAAACTTAGTTGAACAAACCCAATACAACATCAATGTAGTTCAATCATGCAGTCTGTGAGTTATCTCCCCTTAAATATTACATCAGGAAAGGTGTCAAATATTTTCAGGGAAGTTGATGTTAGTTATATATATATTGTACACAATCATGTATAAATATCTAAAAAAAAATTGCCAGTACAATCAATATTTCACATCATTTACTACAACTACAATAGTTTCTTGGGTAAAATATTTCAAACTCTTGCTAATCTCTTTCACTGATGTAAATTAAAACTGCATAAAAATTATATTATATGTCCATTTCAATTACCCAACATTATAAATACAAATGTATTTTGTTTCGGGATTTCCGTTGAGATGACTCAGCAATTGAGAAACTATGTAAAAATTACTTCATTATGCTTTTTAATCTATTATGTATTGTAATTTAGTTCAATAAAAACTGATAGATTTGAAATATTTCATTAAACATGAAAGCAAAGATTATTCAGTATGAAATTTTCTGCATGTGATGAATGAAAACCTTCTAATTAGGAGCTTGATATCAGGTAGGCTTGGTGTTCAATAATTAATTGAAGCCTTTTGAGAGATTCATGGCTTTCTGTAACAGCAGCTGTGTTTAGGTGCCATCAGTAAAACAACAATGATATAGCTAGAACAAAAATGTGAAAGTGTCGCTAGTTGTCTGGGTGATAAATGTAGCTAGTTGTCTGGGTGATAAATTAGCTAGTTGTCTGGGTGATAAATTAGCTAGTTGTCTGGGTGATAAATGTAGCTAGTTGTCTGGGTGATAACTGTAGCTAGTTGTCTGTACAATAACTGTAGCTAGTTATCTGGGTGATAAATGTAGCTAGATGTCTGTACAATAACTGTAGCTAGTTGTCTGGGTGATAAATTTAGCTAGTTGTCTGGACAATAACTGTAGCTAGTTGTCTGGGTGATAACTGTAGCTAGTTGTCTGGGTGATAAATTAGCTAGTTATCTGGGTGATAACTGTAGCTAGTTGTATAGGCGATAAATGAAGCTAGTTGTCTGGGTGATAAATTTAGCTAGTTGTCTGGACAATAACTGTAGCTAGTTGTCTGGGCGATAAAAGTAGCTTATTGTCTGGGTGATAAATGTAGCTAGTTGTCTGTCTGATAACTGTAGATAGTTGTCTGGGTGTTAAATGCAGTTAGATGTCTTGATCCTAACTGTAGCTAGTTGCCTGGGCGATTCTTGGCTGTAGAAAGTGTTTTGTGCAGTATTAAGCAGAAGTAATGGGCATACAACGGCATCACAAGCAAATTACTGTTAGTTGTTTGGTATTCTGGGTTATAAATATTGTTTTTATTTGGTAGGTTAACACTGTTGACATGCAATATACATTATAGACTACTATAACTGATTATTTCGGACATGAAGGACTTGGTTTCTTGAACATATGCACCAATATCATAATAACTTATTGTGTGATATCTGTTATTCTGTTGTGTAATTATAGTCAGGTCATGTTTGCATAATGTTATCAACAGTATAGTGTTGAGTATCACGATATGTATCATGATACATGAGAAACAGACAATGTTATTTAGGCATGTCTTCCATTGGTCCTGGGAAGAAACTGTGTTCATACATCAAAGTAAAGTATGACATTGCATTGATATGACTGCTAGAAATTCAATAATTAAATTGTTACACCACTAGTGACAAAGTCTTTTATTGAATGACAGCAGTTTTGTCCTTGTCATGAATGATTGGCTGATTCAAGAGATTCTCATCCTGCTCAAACATTTCAGAAATCCAAAATTAGATTTACAGGATAATACAACAATCCAATAACACTATTACTAGTTCTTACGCAAATATAGTAAAAAGGGACTTCTCTCTGAATTTCTTTGTTGAATGACAGACTACAGACATCCTCTAAAATTTATCATTTAATGGAATGGTCTAGTGCACCATCAGCTTTTGAAATATATATAAAGAAAAAAAATATGAGACTGTCCAGACAGTTTAAATTCATACTGTATTTGTTTTATGAAATACTTTTCAACCTTTTCTTTTTTTTCTGACTATCGTTAAGTCTTCTTTCTATCTACTCTAACCAACAACAGGAAATCAGCATTTTGTTAAGATGAAACATTTCGGGATTTTTTCGAAAAATAAAAATTATTGGGCTGTTCTCCATCATATACAATGATTTAACAACCCTTGAAAACAATGTTTCTCACTGGTCTTTTCCCTTTGGGATATGTCACATTCTCAGGATGAAAAATCATTGTATTAACCTGAAAATGGGTCAATAATTGCATTATAACCATGATTTTCACCATCAAATGTGTAAAAAGTATTTTGTTCTCATTATAAGTGATAAGACTGGAGCTACTGTATGTCATAAAAGGAAGGAGTCTGCCATCCTTTTTTTCCTGTTGAAAGTAGTTGCATATAAAATCTTATTTAAGAACCTTTTCAGAGAAAACTGAGTTGAATGTAGGGATGACTGGACAACTTTTGTTGGAAGATATCAGCAAACTTAAATACAAAATATGCTGCCTTCAGAACAGTTGCTTGTATCTTTCAATGGATGTTGCCCAGTGATCTCTACCTTCAACCTTGTTGACTTTTTGAACTGGACTACTTTAACCATGGAAACATTCGACCAGATGTTGGACCTCTTTTTCCTTGTATTTTTATTAAAGAAAAGTCAATATCAGGAATGTGACTTGAAGCAAGATAGAATCTAAGTACAAGGTAATGTTTAAAGAATATGAGAGTTGTTCCTTGTTGATGGAACAGTCACAGATCACATGAATGTGTCAAATGTTGGGTGTAGCAGTGTCACTTTTTATTCTGACACCAGTCTTGTCACACTATAAAAAAGACAGATTAGATAGGGATATTAATGGACCAAGATCCTCAATGTTTCAGGATAGCAAAACTGCCATTTACATGTCACAGAGTTCATGAACTTATTTGATATACTTACATCTGGAAGAGAAACTGCAGGTGCTGCATTTTCAGAGACTGCAGGTTTGGTTTCTGGTTTTGGTTTTGGAGCAGTATAGGCTGGTTCAGCTTTCACAGGTGCTGGGGTTGGTTCTGGAGTCTTGGTAACAACTGGAGCCTTGGTAGCAACTGGAGCTGGGGCTGGAGCTGGAGCTGGAGCCGGAGTTGGAGCTGGGGCAGGAGCAGGTGCTGACTCTGCCTTCTGAGGCGTTGCCGAATTCAGGTTGTCCAAGATGTTAGCCTTTCGTATAGGCTTGGCACTACTCTGCTTGGTGCCTTCCATAGCCATAAACTTATCTCTCAAACTGAGCTGTAAATAAAATTCTGGAAATTGATTACCTAGTAAAACATTCACATGTCAGACATCTAAAAATTTACAATTTTGATTTTTTTCTTGGTTTTCTTGGTTTCTAAAATGCTTTGGCAAATCACTTATTGCATTCATTACAATGTACATATCAGTAATACTCTCAAGGTTAGGGCATAACAGTATTTTGAAACAGTTGAAAATATATTCTGCTATATTTGTGTTTCACTGAAACTTCAATAACCACTTAAAATATTTTTATAGCAAATAAAATTCTCTGTGGTTATACTTCATGAGGTCTGCAAAATACAGAGCCCACTGTGTGCTAGGCAATGTTAGAGAATGTAACCACCAGGGGCTATGCAATATGACCTATGTTACCCTTCAGGGCAGGAGAGTTACCATCCAAGAAAAGGCAATATAACAGAATGTTACCATCAGGGACAAGGCAATACAACAGGAAGTTTCCATTATTTGGCAATATAACAAATAAAACAGCATTTTACCATCAGGGGATCGGCATCCTTGCCATCGATCCATTCATCTGCTGTGAGACCTGCCTGGTCCTTGGCTGTGTCCGGGTAAATGTCATCTTGGAATAGGTCAGACTACAACAAAAAATTATCCAGCATTTCTCAAATGTGTAAAATAACTTTATAACAATGACCTTTCTATTCCTGACACTGGCTTTGACTTTGAACTGACAGTATGATATTCTGGAAATGGTATCTGCTGGGTTGGCCTCATGCTATACGTTTGTTATTTTCCAGGGGTTCTTTAGTACTTTTTTGATTTATACAATAAAAAAAATTCCTTGTTCCATAACTTCTTTGCAGAAAAAAACAATAATGAAAGATTATAGCCATCTCCTATCCTTTTTTAATATATAGGGATCTGAACTCAGTTTCTCACACACAAAACATGAATAAATCACAAATTTTAAAGTAAGCTTTTCCCATGAAACAATTTGTCACCACAGTAGTCAAAGGTTACAAGAGATCTAAGAGGGATCTTGGTGCCCACCAATGTTTTATCTTTATTTACTCTTTCAAAGCTGGATCTTTTCCCTTCTTTTCTTTTCTCTTCTCTGTTTTTGCTCTGAGTGATAAGAAATTTGAACATTCCCTTGACAGAAATAGCAATGATAATCTTTACCTGCCAAAGCCAAAATGGTCGCCTGGAAGCCATATTGTTTCTTCTGATCAGTCCAAAAAACAAACAGGCAAAATAAAGACCAATGGGAACATACGAATCAGATCTGAGAGATCAATTCAGTACTTCTTAAGAAATAGGGATAAATATCCTTATCAGGCGAAATCCTACATGACTGCTTTTAGACCATTTCTGATCAGTTTCAAACTAAGTCAGCCACAACAAGGGACCAAGAGGAACATGTACATGAACTTTGAGAAAAATCTATGCAGTAGCTCTCAAGAAATAGCGATAACAAACTTTCAATGTCAAAATCCAAGATGGTGGCTTGTAGACCCAAAATCAAATGGGCACAACTAAGGATCAAGAGTAATCTACATAGGAAATTTAAGAACAATCCATCAAGCAATTATTAAGAAATAGCAATAACAAACTTCCAAAGTCAAAATCCAAGATGGGTGCCTGTCAGCCATTTTATTTTTCAGACCAGATCAAATATCAAACTGACACAACAAGGGTCAAAGAGGAATCTACATATGAAATTAAAGAAAGATCCATCAAGTGCTTCTCAAGAAAAAGTGATAACAAACTTTCACAATCAATTTTTTTTCTGATCAGACCCAAAATGAATTATGCAAAACTAGGGACAAGGGGAACTAACATATGAAATTTGAGAGTGATCCAAGTAGTAGTGATAACAAACTTGCAAAGTCAAAATCAAAGATGGCTATCTGTCAGCCATTTTTGTTTTTCTGATCAATCCCAAAATGAAACAGGCACAACTAGAGACCAAGGGGAACTCATATGTGAAATTTGAGAGAGATGCATCAGGTACTTTTCAAGAAATAGCGATAACAAACTTGCAATGTCAAAATCCAAGATGGCCACCTGTCAGCCTTTTGGTTTTTTTCATCAGTCCCAAAATCTAACAATCACAACTAAGGACCAAAGAGATTTTACATATGAAATTTGAGAAAAGAGTCATCTCGTACTTTTTCAAAAAATAGCGATAACAAAAATTGTTTACAGACGGACAGATGATGGACGGATGACCATGGATGTAAGGCAATTTGAATAGCCCATCATCTGATAATAGCGGGCTCAAAATAGAGGTCATAGTGACGTATTTATGGTTAAAGACATGCAGAATTTCGTTCAAATGTTGTGTAATAACATGTCATGTATACTGCAATAATTGATTGCCAAGAAACTGAGATTTTAATAAAACGTTATTATGCTTTATGTACTTCTGGTTAGACAGATCCAGAGAGACATTTTCTTACCTTTCGGGGCACTGTGAATGGAATCACTTCACACAGGCCATTGTTGAGGATTTTGTAAATTCTGTAAAGTAAAATGACCATGTATATAAGGCCCATGATGTATGATGTAGAAGTCAGTGTATGTTGGGAAGTTGTCCATTTCACCACTCCAACAATTAATTAATTTTACAAACGCAATGATATCCCAACAAAAACAGCTATACAATTTCACTATTATATCACCTATGAATGACACCAATTGATTTTTATATTTTTTCCTATAAATCACTTATAATACTTCAGACATCTATCTATAAATAAAATTCACAAGAAAACAAGAGGCCCATGGGCCTTAACTGTCATCTGACCATAAAGATACATGAAAAAGGAAAAATAGGCTTAAAATAAATTGCTCAACTACTTTACAGCTTACATAGAAGACATTGTTGCTTCATCAAGATATTTTCGTCAAACTTGAAATGTTCTTTATACATGCACTACACAATTGCCATTACTGCGGATGTATTGCTTGTTAAAAAAACAGCTACAGGCCCAATTTCAAGACCCTTGGGCTTTCGGTTATTGAAAATGAATTTCTTCAGCATTTTAATACATTTGATACCTATGACCTAGACAGTGGGTCAATGTCATTCATATTAACAAAGTTGGTAGCCCTAGCATGTTACAGGCATAAAATCATCATCAGGACCATCTCAGAACCATTTCATTGAAGTTTGAGCTAAATCCCACTGATAGAACTTGAGAAGAAGTTTGGAATGTCAAAAGTTTACACGTGGTGGAAGGCAGACGGTGGATGGCGGAAGGCGCCCACTGACATCTGACGGCGCACGGTGGACAAAGACGGAAGAAGCACAAAGTATGGACCACTGTACCTAACTAATATAGACATCACACACATTCTCTGAGACTAATGGTTTGTTCTGTCTGATCTTTTCTGTCTGATATATTCCTTACCATCGACTATTACCCAAACATCACATATTTACTTACTTGGTTATTTCGCAGGCTTTCATGTCAACACCTCGCTTGTTCTGATATGCAAATCCTCTCTGAGCATCTTTAGACTGATACAGATTCAAGTAATGTGCATATGGGGTCTCATCTGTGATCTCATAGTACCTAATGATACTGTCTCCCTGTAATGTAAACCATTTACATTGCATTACATTGCTTATCAGTTGATTATCAGGCTATACCCAGGGCTCTCGATCTGCCAGATTTGGGGACAATATTCCCCAAGTTTTCCCAATTATATGGACACACCCCTATTTTCCCTAAATCTACGGGCCCTGGGCCCCTGGCCCTAGTCCCAAAATGGGGTGTGAGAGCCCTGATACCGGCCCATATTTTTTCCAACCAAGTTACAATTGATGGCATTGGTGTAAACAGAAGATGAAGAAAAACCAAGAGGCCCACAGGCCTGACTGGTCATCTGACCTACATAAAGACCTTTATCTGACAGAGGCCAAATAAGCCTAAAATAAATTGCTCAAGTTACATAGAAGACATTGTTGGTTCATAAAGACATTTTTTACCATTACTACAGACTTATTCCTGAAATTTTAAAACCTCTACTCATTTGACCCTAGAGATCTTGAACAGAGATCAAGGTCAATTATTTGAATAAATTTGCTTGTTTATGATAAGAATGGCTTTGTGTAACTTATAACAAATGATATTGGACTATGAGAGTTTGTCAGCATGCACAGGGCCTTTGCTTATATTTAATAGTACTGCCACCAATGGAAATATTGTTCAGTAAACCGTACGTAATGTCAGAATCTATATCTGTACTTAGACAATCCTTGAAGGCTCCCACATCAAACAATTCTATAAATGCTATTTTACATTTTACAAACACATCAATAATATCATAAAGGACTATCAGTTTATAGTTTATTTGCAAACTTATGTTAAATGTTTCAATGAAGATCTTAAAGTGCCTTCCATTGTCTGTTATATCAACAAACTTGGTTGACATAACAGTTACCATATTGTAAGAAACAGTGCAGTTTAACTTCAGGTGCAGTCTATATGTGTATCAATAAAAAAATTCTCTAAAAACCAATCCTGCGGCTTATAATCAGGTGCGGTTTATAGCCAGAATACACATTACTTGCAAGAAAGTTGACAGATTTACAAGGGCTCCAGTATCACTTACCTTTGCTGCCAGAAACAAGATGCTTAGATCCGAGTCATAATACGGGAAAAGGACTCCGTTGTTATTGTCAATCACTTCCGCAGCAAGATTTTTCAAGTTCTGAAATTTTTAATTTTTTTTTTAAAAACTGCATGTGATATTTTTGGTAACACAGTCTTATTTAGAACAAAAATGTACTTGAAACATATTAAATTTGTCATATGGACTACCTAGCAACATTTTCTCCCCAATCTACTGTATTTCAGTCAAGAACATTTGCCAACAATGTCACCAAGTTCCCTTGTATAAGGAGAATTGACAGCAGCCGCACAAGGTTGAAGTTAAGTCCTAATTTCACAACATTGTGGTCACCTATGTTTGGATATATAAACAAGAGGCCTAGCAGCCTTGACAGTCACCTGAGATCAGCAATATTGAATATGAAGGTTAAAGAGGAGTTGTTAAGGGTCATGAAACAGAAATTGTGACACTGAATATAGTAAGCCTTCATCAATACATGCATACCATCAAAACTTTCGTCCTATACTTATAACACATATAAAATCCTATACTGATAATTCTTATTAAGTTATTTCCAGTAAAAAATAACCAACATTATGCTCAAAACTGCTATTTTTCTATGAAAATTACTGTAATTTTTTAAAACACTTCCTCCCCTAGAAGAAATGAGATGGACTTGACAGTATGTGATACACATTGGTAAACATACCTTATCCCACACACAATACTGCCGCTCGCTCATGCGGGAAAATCCAGTTGTAAAGATTCTGCCATCTTTAAGGTACACTGCTTGTGCCGGTTTGCTGCTTTCATGAGTTTTCTCTTGCTGCAAAAATTAACGACAAGCATTAAAACAAAGAGATCTAGCGGCTTTGCCCATCACCTGAGATAATATCGAACATAAAAGTTAATTATAATTATCAAGTATCATGAAACAGATATTGTGACACTGAACAGAGTAAGCCAGTGTCAATACATGAATTCCATCTAATGAAATCTGAATCAATTTGACCCCTTTTGGCCAATCGTCAGCCCCTTTAGGGTCAGCCAGGATAAATATGGTATATCATCAAGCCATGATCCTTCATTGGAAATTGAACAAATTATTCTCAACAAGAGGCCCAAGGGCCTTATCAGTCACCTGAGTCACAATGGTTCTTGTAACATGTAATAAAAATGATTTTGATAAAAAAAGTAATATAATTTTAACTATATTTTACACATAATGCAAATGTAAATTGTGTATACATTAACCGCTGTCCCGAGGTAAGGCTTCTTACCAAGTTTGAATTAAATGAAATTTCACTCAAGATTTAAATTTTCATATATAAAATTTTCCATCCATAGAACAGCAGAACATTTCAGTCATTTTGACAAAATTTCAACACCCACCCATCAGCACAAGTCAAGAACAATATGTGGATCTCATCAAACAGTCAGCTTAAACTAAAAAAAATAAATTCTTACAAAGTTGGAGCTATTTCTGAAAAAGAATCAACAATTTATGCCCAAAAATATAATTTTCCTATACAAAATTTAGTCAATTTTACCCCTTTCCCAGGAGAAAATTTACAATTTGGTAAAGCATCTGAAGGCCTTTCCATCCAAGAACAGTTCTTTATTCCACCATCCTGGGACCTGAGTAAAAAGATTTTGAAGTTTCAATCAATTTGACCCTTTTTGGCCCTGCCCCTCAGGCCCTTGGGGCCTGGGGATCATATAACTTTGGTGCTCCTTAAGTCATGGAAGATTTTTATAAAATTTCATCAAATTCAGTGTTCCAGAAAAAGTTGAAAATGATAAAAGTTAATGACGCACGATGACGGACAAAACAGGATCACAATTGGTCACTCTGAGACTTTGCCTCAGATGAGCTAAAAATCTAGTTTTCCTATATAAACTATAGTAAACTTTACCCCCTCTCCATGGCGAAATGTCAGACCCTGGGGACCATGAAATACAAAATTTTGGTAAAGCACCTTAAGATGCTTCCATTCATGAGGAGTATTTGATTCTACTATGTCTTGGGTGTTCAGACACACGATGCCAGATGAAGGTGATGGCAATGGGTCATAATGAGACTTTGTCTCGGCTGATTTAATAAAGTAAGGCATACGTAAGTAGAGCATGAAGTAATCTAACTATTGAATGATAGATCTGAATATATATGCCAACATGAGTAACCAGCTGAAAACCAAACCAAAGATAATATAAATACTGTAAGTCCAGATTTTGTTACGATATGATAGACTTATATTTGAAAAATTCATCATCAAGATTAAAATCACCTTTTGCTACAAATGCAAAGAGTCAAACTTTAATCATTAAGACTCTTTTTCAACAATCTGGAGTAATCCATGAGGCCAAAACTGTAGTTTCAATGATACACAGTATATTAAGAGTATTCTAGGAATTATCATTTTAGATGTTCAGAACGAGTTATTAATAACTAGATGCGACCGTTTACTTACAGCGATAACTTTTCCTGTTCTAGCGTCAATTATCCTCGTCATCTTATCTTTACAAGTGGTCACAAATCTGCTTCCATTAAAGTTAAATGATGCTGAAAAGATGAGGTCAGGCACATCTATCTCTAAGAAGGCTTCTCCTTGTCCAGCGTTCCATAAGATAATTTTATTATCCGAACCTAAAACACAAAACATCTCAAATCACCTACTTTTTGGTCTAGAACGACTAATACTCTGCAGCTAAACATTTATAAAGAAAAGACCTGGATAGTGAGTGAAGAGTTGTGTGTCGCTAAAAATAAAATTTTCTGATATTATATATCAACTTTTGAAAAATAGGAAAAATAGATAACAAAGAGTCATGTTCAACATATGTATGACAATGTGACATTGCAGAGTGACAACACTATGAAAGTGCCCTGGAATAGCCACATCAAGCTTTGTACAGTATTCTAGGCTGTAAAACCTTTATAAACAAACGTACCTGCAGACAGTAGAACATTGGCAGCCACAGGATGCCACATGACAAGGCCCACTCGCCTCTGGTGATGCTTCAGGTCTACAACAGGCGTAGTCATATTTGTAGTCAGCCCACAATCAGGAATGTTCCAGATCATCACAGAGCAGTCATCACTTGCGCTGGCAATGAGGTTGTCATTATGTGGACACCAAGCAATGTCTAGCACAGCAAGCTGATGTCCAGTAACCTGCGGGGTGTCACGCTCCACACGACCAACCTGTTATCAAATTTCACATGTAAATTTACTTAATAACACATCGATTGACATGCTCTTTTATCACATAAATAAATATTATTGGTTTAAGACTATTGCCCGTTTCATAAATTTTGATTTCACACATGTGTAATATGACCAAGCAGATAAGTGATTGACTGAAAGTTCACATGGTCTCCATTGTGATGTCATAACTTCATACCATAACATATGCATTTTGAAATCATTAAAGAAAAGAATTACAAAATATGACTACAATTAATTTTGATTTTGCATCAGTCTAATAAAATTTTATTTACAAAAATAATTGCACAAGTATAAAGTTTTCTGTCATAAACTTGAGGTTTTTTAATGTAAAACCAATTTTCATGATGTAATACTTACCATAACTTTAGTATGCAAATACAGTACCTACACCCATCTTTGTATCCCAACAACAAAAGATTCAAAAGAAAAACAATCCCGCCCTCCCTACGATCCATGAGCCATCACGACAGGAACGCAGAGTGATCTCCCTTCCTCTAATAACCTTTATGGCGTAAACCCCACAGAGGGGCAGCCAGGCAGATAAGGAAGAGGGGAGGATAGGGTGGGACTCCATAAAGTTATGGTAAGTATTACATCATGAAAATTGGTTTTACATTAAAAAACCTCAATTTCATTTCAGTAATAATTACCATAACTTTAGTATGCGAATTCGTCTTACCGTAGTGGTGACTAGAAGCCAGGCAGCCCCTTCAGCACAACCAAAGTAGTAGGGAGGGAGAACAGAGTGCTAAAGTGAAGGAAGGGACCTCTCTGTGAAAGAGCAGGTGTACCCACATGCCGCCGTACGGAAAGACATGGCCCGGGGCTAACGAGGAGGCCCAGCCACTGACTATGCCACCACCAAAGGTCCCAATGATACAGGCCTTCTGAGTGGGAAGCTAGGGATCACAGATAAAAATCTGTTAAGGTATCCCTGCCCTGCCAGAATACTGCAGACATGACCTCCTGAAAGGAGGACTCATTGAGAGAAGGGCCCAGGATGAAGCAAGGGCCCTGACCTCGTGAGACCGCGCTTTCACTCTCGCCCGAGCCAGATCATCAAAATGCTCGTAAGCATACTAAATCACCTGGCAAACCCACCTGGAAACCGACTGGGAGGAGATATCTCGTTGCCCCTGTTTAATGGGCAAAACAGACGGGATCGAGAGCCCCGCCCCCCCCTGGTTTTATCAAGATAAAACCTAAGAGCCCGACAAGGACAAAGCAACCTATCTCGCTCCTCCGAGCTAGTCACAGCCAGGATCCTGATGGGATCGTGCGAGAACCCCGGAACCTGATTCTTCGCTAAAAACAACTCTATTCATAGCAAAGCCTCTGATTAGGGCAGAAAGAGAGGAGGACTAACCGATCTCCTTCCTGCCATAACAAGCAAGAACTCTGGCAATAGCTGTACGATAGCCAGCAATAGTGCCAGGTGGCAGATAGCGGTACCTAAACAGAGAGATTAGGAATTCCGCAATCAAATGCAGAGGCTTCGAATGAATAAGCTTCCTTGCCGACACACCAATCACAGAAGATCATCCAACGTGACTGGTAGACGGCAGAAGAGGAAGCCCTGATTGATTGCTCAATGCAATCGGACACCTCTTGAGAAAAGCCTGCCTTGGCGTGGCTTCCAGAGATAGCCTCAGCGCGTGAAGGTGGAGGATCTCTGGTCAAGAGTGTGTCGTTCTGGGCCAAGGCTGGCGAAGGAGATTCGGTCTGGTGGGGAGAGCCAAGGGCTCCTCCACCAGAAACGACAAGAGCTCCTGAAACCAAGCTTGCCTCGGCCACAGAGGGGCTCTCAGAAGTAAGGAGCAGTGATGCTCCCAGAACTTCTGTAGAACCCTGCCCACCAGGTTGAAGGGAGGGAATGCATATGCATACGTCCCTTCCTATTCCAGAGAAAGGGCGTCCACAGCCCACGCCTTACGGTCTGGGACCGGGGAGACGAAGGTTAGCAGCTGGTTGTTCAGGGAAGTGGCAAACAGGTCTATAATAGGTCTGTCCCACGCCTGACAATTCCCCTTGAAAATCAAGGGACACAGCTGCCATTCCGTCAACACCGGCTGGTGGCGCCTGGAGAGTGGCCACCAACACACTCAGCCTGCCAGAAAGATGCTTGACCGCTATGGTCAACTGCATGTCCTGGCAGAGAAGATGGATGTGGATGGAGAGGGCACACAGGACATGAGACCTGGTGGCCCCTGTCTCTCCAGATACGCGACAACTGTTGTCGGTAGCCACACTTTGGACTGCAGGATACCCCTAAAGGACTGCAGAGCCAAATGAACAGTGTCATCTCGAGTACACTGATGTGCTCCGAGAGTTATTCGCCAGACCACTCCCCCATCGAGGTAAGCTCACATTCCTGTCATGAACGCGTCCATGAACAGGATCATAGAGGGGATAGGCTTGGTCAGAGGTACCCCGTGGAAAACGTTCTCCTGAATGGTCCACCAGCAAGAGAACTCCCTGACCGACTGGGTAAGCGGGATCCAGGCCTCCTGGATGACGGAACCCAGTCAGACAGGAGGAACATCTGGAGAGGTCCGATGTGAATCCTCCCTAGGGGGACCACATATGCCAAGGAGTTGAGATACCCCAGAAAACTGAGGAACCAATGTACCTGGACAAGTGACCAAGTGATGAAAGTCAGAGCCAGAGCCCTGACCTTCTCAAACTTCTCCAGAGGTGGAAGGGCTAAGCCCCGAACCATGTCAAAATGGTTCCCCAGGAAGAAGAAGTCC